TCCATAAAGAAACAAAACCTCCTACTCACTAATGCTTAATTGTACTGAAAGCAGAAGCAGTTCTGGCAGATAAATTGATATTTCACTCTATGTCGGGAAATACAGTGACACAGAGTTAGTTGCTTATTTACAGCTCAGTATGCGCTAACACAGACAGCCACGGCCCTGCTCCTCCAGAGTCTGCCTCTGTGACCATGAGGCGGCCAGAAAGTACTGACTGAGTCTCTGGCCTGATTCGTATTTTCTTACCTTCACTGAAATCTTCAGCAGATTTTCACTGACTCCAGGAGGACAAACAAAATCTTCAAACAGACACTGCCAGTCCACAGACATATGGCCTAGGATTTCAACTTCCTTTATAAACAGTACTCGCCTATTTCGGAAAAGAAAACAAACATAAGCACAAACCAGCTCCATCCTTTGCTCTGCTTAGTGAACAACAGAAACTGACCCTCGTAAGAATCACGGGGGTCAGAGAGCGTGTTCAGCCTGAAGTGGGGTAGGAAATCTTTATCAACCTCCTCACCCCAGGGCTCAGGGAAGAGCCGGAGGTGGGGAGGATGCTGTGAAATGCTGGCTTCTGGACACGACATAGCTACTGCACTCAGGAACCCAAAGCCACTGTGACTACCATTACAAGATGTGCACAAGGTGAAGCCAGCCCAGATCAGTCTCCAGGCCCCATTACTGAGGAGGCCCTGTCAGTGGACAGTTCCTTGGGGAGGGAGAATCATTCTGTCTTGAATGTGGCCACTAATGGGTTCCCTACGCTCCATGGATGACCCATGCTCATGTATATACTAGCAGCAAAAAATATACCTAGTGGTTTATTAAAAAAAAAAAAAAAAAAAAAAAGAAAGAAAGAAAAAAAGAAAGGAGGAGGAGGGGCCATGAAGTTGAAAAGGAAACATGTTGGAGGAGAATACAAGGGCAGTTGGAAGGGAAAAATGGAGGCAAATGAGGTCATACTGCACTGTATATATGCGCATGGAATTCTCAAGAATAAAGAAAATTTTTAAAAATTAAAAAGTTCACTTATAGAAAAGTATTCTATAAATACTATAAAACAAAAGTCTATGTAAATGTCAAATGAAGTGCAATGTAACTCTCTACCTAACAAAATGGACTTTAGAAATCCCCTTTCTGTCAATCTTGCAGAATCCAGGAATGTAGTTTTTGGTTTGAACCAGTGAAACTCCTGAGAGGGGAATCGCACGTGGCACACGTGAAGCACAGAATGCACCCTCACGTGGGAGGCGACAAGCAGAAGCCCCTGAAGAAGAGTTATCTGGGATATTCCTAATTGCTCCTTCCTGTCAGTCACTTAAGCCTTCCAGCCAAGACAGATGGTGCAGGAAATGTCACAAGCCCAAATGTCAGCAGAGGCTCACTTTGGACCTACTAATAAATACTAGACTTGAACATTTTAACGCTAATGTAAACCACAGGAGGAATGTCTCATTATGCTCAACAGCAATAAAAAAAAAAAAAAAACAACATAATCCTTAAAGGACACCCACACTCATTTCCCACTCAGTGTGTCAGATTAATAACTGATATAACTATACTTGATTTTTAAGTCTCCGCTAAAGACTGCAAAACTAGAAATGTAGATTTGTAAAATCAAACAGCATATAGGTGCCAGAGAAAAGAAGGAAGGTGGGGACCCTGCTTGTGGGGCACCCCATGCTTTGAAGGGAAAGCAACCAAAAAGACAATGTCACAGGTTCGGAGGACTGGAGAGGGAGCAGGCTGCACTGGCAATGTGGAGGATGAGTCGCTCACTGAAAAATTCTCTTTAGAAAGAGGCAGTCATCGTTTAGGCGACACAGACACATGGGCAGATTAATAGAAAGATGGCATTGTGTGGTACTGAGAATTGTACTCAGGGCCTTACAGATGCTAGGCAAATATGCTCTCTTAGCTCTGGCCCCATGCATCTTGTCACTCTCTGTTTTGAGGCAGGGTCTCACAACATTGCGCAGGCTTGCCCAGAACCCAATCTGTACCCTAGTCAGGCCTGACCTAGCAGTCCTCCTGGCTCTCCCAAGCAGCAGGGATAACAGGCCTGCGCTCCAACCTCAGCAGGAGGAAGGGCCTATGGAGGAATGGGGAGCTCTGCGGCTGGAATACCAGACACATACTTGGGCAAGAAAATCTCCTTAAGGTCTAATCTTAGAATGATATTAGTGTCATCTTAAAATTAAAACTTTAACTTATGGGTAACTGGACAGCCTATGAAGGTTCTTTAGTTTAGACATACTTCTGGTGACAAGCAGAGAGTAGGGGCACAGGGCATGGAGGAGAAAATCAAGACAGGCAGTTCCTACTAAGCCAGATGGGGGAGCTTTGACAGTCTTATTTGTGACAGTGGCTCTAAGGAGAGAGAATGAGCTAGACTCTGGGTGTTCAGGAAGGCAGGCCTGAATGAACCTGGTGATCGGTAGACAGGGGAATTAGAGCAGGCCCCGACACTGGTTCTCAGGGGAGCGCTATGAGAAGTTTGGACTCATTTGGGACCGATACCTACAGGACACCTGATCCTTGCAGAGCAAGAGTCAGCAGAGTCGTCCTTCATGTGACACTTTCAATACCCACACACACTCTAGCCACTCTCTGATGACCATCCCCCACACCTCTGCTCCGAAGCCCAGCTTACTATCAGATATCAAAGCCGTGTGCCAAGTGCAACTCGCTATTTTGTGCATTTCTGAACTCTCTCTTCTCCGGACCATTCCAATGACACGCTCTCCCACCACCTGAAGTCTCCACGCTCTCCAATGCTCCGAGTATCACAGTTTAAATCTTGTCATCTCCTAGGTGATACACTGTGGCATGGAGTCTCCAAGATAGCCACTCCAGATTATTTTTAAAGTCTGTTTTAATTTTTAAGTGTGTGTGAGTGTATGGGGATGTGCACTGAACTGCAGGTACCCACAAATGTTGGAGGCCTCAGCCCAGTGTGGGTGCTGAGACCTGGAAGTGGGCCCTCTTTAAGAGTAGCAAGTGCCCTTAACTGCCAAGCCGTCTCTATAGCCCCTGTGTTCACACCCATAAGATGACTGAACAACCCTTTCTTATATGACTAGTTGGTTAACCTCTTAAGAAAGAGTCGTTTCAAAGTCTGGATTCTGTAGTTCTCCTTTTCTTATTTTTCTCCTCATACAGTTATATCCAGATCCAGATCCAACAGTGAGGAGCCGGGGCAGCAGCCTGGTGGAGAGCACTCACTTAGCAATCATTACAGCCTGGGCTTGGTTTCCAAAGCTCAGACAGAGGGGTGGTACCTTACAGGGAAAGGATGTCTTCACGTCCTTCGATGGACGGAAGGAGGGAGGGGGAAAGTGATGAAAAGAGGGAGACAGAGAGAGAGCGAGAAGGAGGGAGGGAGGGAGGAATGAAGCAGAGTGTGTCTACTCTAAGTACTCTGCTTGAATCCTACAAAACACAGAACTTTGGAAATTACTGATCGACAGTAGTTACCTGGAGGTAAGTTTATTTCTAGAGTAAATCCTGAGACATTAAGTTTGATATTGTATCACAAATCCTTTTTCTCTGGAAAAAGTGTTTATTAATTCCAAAATACTCGGAAGGAACTTCGGATGGGCACACAGGAACAACACGCTTAAAAGGGATTTGCCAATCTCCCCGATAAAACCTTATAAGATAGTAAAGTGACATCACCCTCTTCAGTGGAAGAGAGTTCTTACAGTGACATCACTGCATGGTGAAGGCTATGCACACTTCTCCGCATAGCTCAGCAGCTGCTGCTGCAGCTGGATAAGCCCTAAGCCAAGCTGGGCCAAGCTTCTGCATCTCCAGAATGAGGGGCTTTGAACACACACACTCTCAGACAAATATCTACAGCTGTGCTTCTGTGATATGATAACGGTCCTAATACCCTGAAGTACAGTTTTCTAACCCTCTGTCACTGTAGCCTTTGAAAGCGCTCCCGTGAACACAGCTGGTGGCATCTAAAAGGTAATACCTGTTTGTAACCATAAGGACTGCCCTCTTGTTCCCAGGAACAGCACAGTGGAACTGGTAGGTCTCATCTTCCAACTTTTTGATTTGGTTCTGAAAAAGAAAGAATAGTTAAGACTTGGGAACGCCACATATTTAAATATTTATTTGTATAGTAGCTGATGATAGTCAACTACTACAGGAAAAGGTACATGAGAAACAAGACTAGAACACTGCAATTGGTGTCTGAAGCAAGAAAACAACTTATTTACAATAAGTTGGCAATTACTTTCCACGACTGTCTTCAAAGAAAATGTATGTAATGCTCACCAAGTGAGCATCTGAGGAAAAACAGTTTACTCTTAGTAGCTTAAAAGGTTTAGAACTGTCAGTCAGAAACAATCACACATCTTAAGCATGTACAAATATGGTGATACAAAATTGCTATATTAATGTCTCAGTGGTCCTTAAAAGGTCCCTCCCGGGCAAGAACTTGGGACGGCAAAGAACATAAAATTTAGACATGATTCTTTTTACAGGAGGGTCTACATTTTAATTTCAGGTTCCTTCGAGAAGTCTGTGACCCTTCTTAAAAGCTAAGGCCCAGCGACTGGAGAGATGGCCCAGTGAATAAGAGCACTTCTCTTTCAAAGGACCCAGGTTCCATTCCCAGCACCCATGCAAGAGTTCGCAATCGCCTGTAACTCTAGTTTCAAGAGACGTGATGCCCACTTCTGGCCTCCAGCTCAGTCATGCACCTGGTGCACATACACACACTCAGGCACAATAAAAATAATTAATTTTCAAGAAGCTAAGACCCTACCATTTATTGGACAGGGTTATGTACTACATAGTGGTAAGCCTGCAGGGTGTTTGCTGTCTCTGTGTATTTGGTCGTATAGATTATGCACAAGTTGAAAAGAAACATTTTTGTATGAAATTATATTTCTGACTAACACAGACGATTATGGACTCAAAGAATTTCTAGCATTTCAAATATTTGCAGTTTATTTCTAATGCACAAAATCACCCAAGTATAAATTGTAGCCAATAAAATATTTATTTTCTTTTTCAAGTATCTTAAAACTATTGACTTAGTCAATACACATTAGAAACAACAAACAAAGTTTTTTGCAACAAATACTAATGAGTGATTATAGATATCACCAATAATGTGCGATTAAGTATCAAATACTACATGGCATAAAATACAGAAGACAGACACACTGAGTGAATGAGCCCAGCGCCCTGCATGACCGAGAGCAGCCTCCAGCAGCCTTAGGGTCATAGGGTCAACATACGCGCAGCAGAGAAAGCACACCCAGGGTTGTGATCTCAAAGCTTAAGTTCATCTTTCACTTGTGGTGCTGGGGATGAAACCTACATTCTTAAAATATGTCAGCCACTAGTCATTCCTTGCCAATTACAAAAAGCCACGGACAAGGATTACAAAAGCCATGGAAGGAAGAGAGAAGCAGAGCTTCAGAACATGTCTCGGAGAAGGGATGGGCACTCCTTTCACAGTTCACCCTTGTGAATTAGCTACAAAATTTTGCCATCGATGCTCCGGTTTCTTCAGAGAAAATGGAAAAACAGAATAGGACACTACAGTAATGCAGTGCCTTTAGCTGGAGCTGGGAATGCACACGTGAAGCCAGAGAAGCCAGCAGGAGCAGGGAGGCTTGCTTCTCTCCTAACATTTCCATTGTTTATCAGGCTGTGCTTCAACCACCAAAAGCCTTAAATTTATCACCAGGATACACTGGAAAAACTCTTCTCAGTGCTGCTGAAGAGCCACTAGACTCTGAAACTCAGAGCAAGATTCAGTCACTGGGGGGAACAGGAGACCACACTGACCAATGCAACATTCTGTTCTGAAACTCAACATGAGTAATTTAGTAAAATTCTGTTAAAGAAAAGGGTCCTTTCCCATTCATTTTCATCCCTCTCAACTTAATTCTCAGGAACAGCACAAGGAGTAGAAAAGCAAAATGCAAATGTACAGTGGTGTTTATCACAGTTATCACTACCAAGTACAGTCAGGAACCAAGATCAGGAACCGAGAATGGTCAGATATACAATGCAAGATTACCTCTGTGAGTGGACAGGCAAGGGTTAAAGTGTTAAGGAAACATTTCCATACATGAAAAAAACATACTTAGATAGAAAAAGCAAGGAACACCAACTTTAAGTCTTACATGACCATTAGGAACCATCAGCGAAATAAATAATAAATAAAACCCATCTATATACACTTACATATACATACAGGTACAACATAAGCAGCATTATCTTAAGGGAACACTGGAGTAGACTATGCTAAAACACATGGCGTGTGAGTAAGGATTTTCATAGCCGACTAGTAGAAAACAGAGGAATGCTTGGTGGGTTAAAACAAACAAACAAACAAACAAACAAACAAACAAGCCAGTATTACAGTAAGAGCGAGGAGGATATGGTCTAACATTCCAGGACTCTGTAGATTTCCACGTCTGGTTACGCTGACTCCCTTAAGGAATCAGTCCAGCAGAGTCTGAGTAATCAGAAAGTGCTTCTTACTCAGCTCACTGTCACAGCAAGATGGGTGAGAGCTGTGATGGGCTAAACCTTTCGTTACCCAGGAACGAACCATCACCGCAGCAATTTGCCTTCTATTTCTTCCAATAATTACTAATAGACTGATATTAACGTTTAAAGAGTTGTCTGACATAACAAAAACTAAAAAGCCATATGAGATGACTATAGGCTTAGCGAAAATAACTTTTTTTTTTTGCTTGGTAGCGTACATTTATAAAAAGAGAGATCACAGGAATCACCCAGGAGCCAAAAAATAAAATAAGACATAATCAATACACAGAGAAAAAGACCTCAGGTTTCGGAGGATCACAAAAGCCTCAGTAAAATTGCAATATATTCAGGAAAGCTAAAAATTGTGACTGTCACACAAGGAGCTACAGCACCCAGGGTGATGGATTGTGCTTATTCTCACAGAAGCTGCTCGCACGGGGCCTTGTGCATACACGAGGACCCTGTGCCTGTCCCCAGTTATCCAGGTACGACAAGTTTGTTCTGTTTTTGGTTTTGCTACTGTTAATATTTACACGTTTCTCTACACTTGGTCCCATAAGCGCAGAAGTCTTGTTTTGAGGGGAACGTGGTGACACCAGGGTTCAAACCCAGGCCTGTGAGTGCTAGTTTACCTGAGCTGTACCCCAGTCCAAGGATGTCAGTCATTTCTTTTGTCTGTCCAGTACTGTCTGGTCTTTGGACATCAGTTATGTTCTCTTCATAGTGTTTGTTTTAATGTAAAGCGTTCAACTAATTGCTTTTTATAACTATATGTTTAAACACGTATAAATGCACATCTTTAATCCCAGCACTAGGGAGGCACAAATAGGAGGATCTGTGTGAGTTCAAGGCTAGCCTGGTCTATACAGAGAGCTCCAGGCCAGCCAAGGCTTCACAGTAAACTCTACCTTAAACACACACACACACACACACAATCCACCTAAAAGTTTGTATCTTAACAGCTTCATCATCTTCAAATATATATTAGGGATCAACTTTCTACTTTGGTTTCAATTTTAGTTTCTAGATAAGGCGCTGTCAAATCACAAAATTAAACATTTCCATTATTTATCTTAAAAAGAAATTAAAGTATCATTTCCTTTGGGAATTAACTGGGGTATAATGATAATTTATGACTATTTTTTGCTCACCTGGAGAAATCTCTGGGGATTACTCTTGTGACCTGCCAGTGGCATGTGCTTCTGCATGTAAAGCATGCACACAGTGTGTGTGGAGGCCTGAGGTCCTTACCAGGTGCCCTCCTCCTTTACTGACTTTTGTTTACTTTGATTCTGAGCAGGGCCTCTCACTAAATCAGCTGCTCACAAAGTAAGTGAGCTGGCTGCCAGCGAGCTCCAAGTTCTGCCTGCTTCCCGACCCCACTCTAGAACTGAAGCTACAGGCATGTGCCACCACCACGCCTGGCTTGTCTGTGGGTACTGGAGACCTGAACTCAGGTATCTGTGCTTGCTAGTGAGGACTTTAGCAACTGAGCCATCTGCCCAGCCTCTAAGAGTTTGTTTATACAAGGAAAAGTATCTGTACATTCAGTTGCCACAGAGGTAATTTGCCTAATCACATGTTCTCTTACTAACTCTACTTACAATAATTAAAGCTAGTAATTATGAAGTAAGCAAAACCAACAATGGGGCTCAGTTTTCCAAAAGCATTCCTGCTAAATGCTAAGGGTGCAGACCACAGAAAATTACTTCATTTATTTGGCCATAACTGAGTCAAGAAAGAAAAAAAAAATACTGAAGGAATATTCTCCTACAACTCCTATGCCAGGTCTCACCTCAGATCTAAGGACAAGCTCAGAGAAACTGACATATTAGTTATGAAAACACCATGTCCCAGGTTAATAGTTCCATGACTCGAGTACATTCAGGGTAACATGTGGGGCAGAACTCTATGTAATTTCATCATCGAGTTTCAGAAACATAAAGATACAGTCACTGCACAGAGCCTTCCTTCTCAACTTCATCTGCATGTACACAAACAACCTAATACACAAAGTGATACAGTTTCCACAACTGCAGGAAAATATCTGCTCTGGGCTCAATACCCTTTTTAACCCCAAGCCCCAAACCTGCAAGATTATTTCCTGCACCATGGAATCTTTTACACAAATCTCTTAGCCCTGTGTAGAAACAAGAAGCCACAATTTTCAACTATGGCCAAGCCACTAACTATTACAAAAAGCTCAGACAGAAGTGACAGTTATAAAGAAAATGTCATCAAAATCCACCCTCAGTCTGATTCACACACAGTTAAATAGTAGTAGTTTGATTTGAGTTTTAAGGATGGAATCAGGCAGTACAGGAAACATTTACTCCTGTGTTCCCAGTTCTTGCTGTGTAGGCAGAAAAAGAAAGAAAATAAAGTTAGAAGCATGCAAAAAGATAAAATGTATTCATATTATATACAAAAAAACCAAAGGCTAGGAATAATTAAGTCATCTTTAACAGAAAGTATGGAACTATCGATAAGTTGCTATTGAGGGAAAGCCGTTCTTGGGAGAACAGCAATTTATGTATGTGTACAATATTTAAGTATAATGAAACTATATAGCCAAGATGAAATGGCCAAAGTACATTAATTTTTAAATATAAACAAGATTATAACATATGTAAGTGTATAAGCTCTCTTTCTCTCCTCCTGTTCTGTTTACCAGAATAAGTTTAGATTCCCACAGTAAGAGGAGTCAGGTAATTTGGCAGAGAGCAAAGGAAGCAGTGGAGTTCCAACATTAGCCACAAAGCAGGAAGCCAAAACAAAGCGCAGTAACTAAGCGAGCTGACACAGGGAGTGGGTGAAACAACCCTTAGCTGCTTCCATGACAGTCTTTTCTGCACAGAAGAAGCCTTGTGCCTTGCTCCTGTCCTGTGCAAAAAATGAGTTACCAGTTACCTCCCCTCAACATGCCAGGCCACCATACAGAACAATAAATTCTACTCTACAGATGGTGGAGACTCCTTCAAAGATTCATCATCAGGTACTCTATAAATCACCTGTAAAATCTTGGTCCTAGAATCTCTCCATTTCACAACCATGAAGGACAGAATTTACCTCTAGTAAGTTGGAGCCCTCAGATTCCTGCCTGTCATATGGACGGATGATGCCATCTTCATGGATCAGGCGAGGTGGACGGAGGCTGGACACCTCCTCAGTAGATTCTGCTACCCTGAATAAAGTAACAGAAAATACGTGAGCATCTTTCAGGATCAGACGAATTCATGTTGATCAAGCTCATAAATAAATAAGAACTATTAGTAACTTCTAAAACTTGTTCAAAGTGAAGAAAAAAATTAGGAAAGCCATGCCTGATGGATTCTAAGAACCCACCCTTTTCTTAAAGAAAGAAAATGTCAAAGTCTGAAAGGTCATGGACACTGTCACCTTGCTATCTATCAGTACCTGACATAGGGGAGGAACACTTAAAGTGTTGAATAGGGAATAATGAAATGAAACGAAAACTGAGCCGTAAGTTTTACTCTTTTTTTTTTTACTCCTTTTCACAGTTACATGGCCTTATAAAGCCTCTATAGCTTCCAATTAGATTCAAGAGCCTTAAGAACAGGCTAAATATCCGGCCCATTCATATATCCCCAGCAGCGATGGGCACACAGCAGCCCGCCCTCCCCAGCGTGTGATGTCCTCACCTCTGAATGCCTTGGAAGGTGCTGCTAGCCATATCTATGATCCCACCAGTAGGACGAGCCACGGCACCCACGAGCCCTTTTCCAATTCCTTTAAAGAAGCCAGCAGCGCCCTCCTTCTTGGCACCTTTAGGAAACCAAAGACAATGACTATGCAATGATATTTTAAGGTAAGCAAGTCTGAATTCAACACAACCCCAAGCCAACTTGGAAGCCACAAGCATCTGGGTGTCTGGGCAAGTTTCTTCTCATGTTAATGTGACAATGTGGTTGTTGTCAAAGCACATATTCCTGGGCGGAGGCTGCAGCAGATGCTTACACTAAGAGCGGGCAGTGATCTCCAGGAGACCCTGGGGCCCTCACAGATTTGAGAGGACTGATCCAGCTCAGTCAGCACCTGTGCCTGGAGGTCAGAGAACTTAGCAGAGAGCACTCACTCATTTCATTACAACCATTAGGCAGTCCAAGTGGTATATTAAAAACAGCTCAATTATTAAAAATTCTTTTCACACACTATAAAATGTCCCACCATACAAACTAAATGCTTTTGGTGTACTAAGAACTATGTAACACTGTCACAATCAACTTTAGAAAATCTTTGTCTCAGAAGGACGGTCCCTGCCTACAGTCCCTCACTCTCCTATTTCCCCAATGCCTCATCTGAACCTGTCTAGTTCACCGCCTCGCCTCCTTGTCCCAATTCAGACTTGAGCATTCACTGTGTGGTCTATCACAACTGGACTATTTTTTTTAAACTTAGCATCACATAATATAAATTCATCTATATTGTGACATGTATTACTGCTTGGTTTCTGTTTATGGCTGAATAATATTCCACTGAGCAGATATGCCATATTTTATCTATTCATGCATTGATGATAGACACGCCTTTTCGAAGCTATGAACATTCACATAGAAGATTTTATTTAAATGTCTGTTTTCAACACTTTCGACGAGTATCTTGCTGATTCACATGTAGCACGCCCTGTTTAACCACAGAGGAACAGACAGAATGCACTCCTCTAAGTGGCTGCGCTGCTGTGTGCTCCCACCAATAGCCCGTCGAGACGCCAGCTTCCCCACACTCTCACTACTGGACCTTAGTGATCCTAACTGATGTTAAGTAAGATCTCATTTTGATTTACTCCCACACTTGCCTGATGACTAAAATGTATCATTTGCAAAACAAGGAAAAGTCTATTCAGATCCTTTGCCCATTTTAAGTTGAGTTATATTCTTATTGTTAGCTTGTACAATTTCTTTCTACAGTCAAGATATAAATCTTTTATCAAATATAGTTTACAAATCTTTCGTCCCAATTCATAGATTTTTTTTTCTTTTTATGATGATATTTTTTCAAGGCATTTTTTTTTTTTTAAATTTGGCAAACTGTCCTTTTCATTTCCTCCTGGTATCCCTCAACACATAAAATTTAAATCTTGTTGAATCTGACTTATCTGCCTTTTCTTTTGTCACCTAGGCCTCGGTGTCCTGTCTGGAAGGGCTCTTCCAAACCACAGCACTTGCTGCTGCATGTTTCTAAGTTCTGAGTTCTGCTCTCACCCTCTGGCATTTCATCCATCCTGGGCTTATTACAGACAGTGTATGTAACAGCCGGCTTACTGCTCTCCCCGTGTAGATGCGCCATCTTGCTGAAGCCATTGCTAGATTCATCTTGGCACCCATCTCAGAGATCGAGTCACAGTACTTGCAAGACCTCACTGACTTACATGTCTGCTTTCATGTCAGTATCATACTATGTAAGCTTCCTGTAGCTTTATGCTGCAGGAAGCTTTGAAACTAGAACATACAACATATCCCAACATTGCTGGGACATATAAGTCCTCCAACATTCCTTCTTAATTTTTAAAGAAGGCTTTAGTTGTTTTAAATTTTTGAATTACAATTAAGCTTTAGATTTAACTCATCAATTTCTGAAGAGAAAGAGGGATTTTGATGGCAAACACATGGAGGAGCAGGAGCTTTTACCATAGGATGATAAATACACATATATTCATATAACTATATAGTTGCATATATGAATATATAGCTATGTCTATAAGTATATGTATTTATATATCCCACACCCCCTGCTACTGAGGGCCTCAGAAAATCTCATTTTCTGATGGCCTTGAGGAGAACAGCATTCAAAAATCTGAGTCAGTCACCACTTAACCTCTCTGCTCTCTGAAGACAAAACTTGTAATCGATTATCAGGGCTATAATATAGAATTTAGTTTGAAACCCTCTCAATCAAACACGGAGTAGCAATAGCATCGGCCATGCATGCACCCTCCTCCTCTGTGCGGGAGAGAATTGTTCTCTACTCACCTTCCACAGGCTTTGTTATTATCCCAGTCACACCTCCGACAACTCCCTGAAAAAGAAATCCACCACTAAGTCTCCACAAACGGAGGGTGCTTAGCACGAGACCAGCCACTAGAGGTCTCCACAGGCATAGTAATTTTTTTTTTTCTGTTTTGTTTTATAGGACTGAGGACTTACAGTGAACAGTATGTACATACAGGTGAGCACGTTAATTTTACAAATATTAAATCACAGGAAATTCGCAGTAGACAGAGCCACAAAACAGACATCATTAGTGTAATAGCTCCAGTGCATTTGTGACGGATCCCTAAAGCCTCAACAGGAGACTCACACGTAAGAAGCCTTTCCCTCCTCTGGCCAGACTGTCTCCAAAATCTTTAGGCTGTCGCCCCATCTCCTCTCTTCTCTTCTGCTGATACTCTTTGTCCATTGTGATTGCAGCCAGGCCTTTCCCGACAGAGCCAGTGATTCGAGATACAACTCCCGCTGCGCCACCTACAGAGCACACCAGGAAGTCAGTCCCACCAAGCACAGCACAGTATGCACCAGCTTTAGACAAGCCCTGCAGCCCCTGCTCCTACACACTTTTTGCTATCAAGAGGAGTACACAGTTTCTAAAGCACATCCATCAAACCTATGAACATTAACAGCCCAAGAGGCTGCATTTAAGTCATGCCCAAGTTAAAATAAAGGAAATGTGTTTTAAGAGAGATTATTAGGAAGGTGAACTCTCTTTTACTACATATAACCACTTGCTTTCCATAAACAATGCACTTTAGAGTAGTAGGTTATACGCACCTACTGTGTGTCCAAAGAGGCTTCTCACTCCAATCACTAATCCTTCAGCAAATTCTTCAGGGCCTTGGACAGCACCCTGATTCAAAAAAAAAGGTTAGTATTAAACTTTAATAAGTGTAAAACTTTTAATCTAGCATTCTGAAGATTACATGAAGACAAAGAATGTATAAACACCCATCAGAACTAAGACCAAATCATTTTCATGCTATCTCTTAACACAGATGGATTTATACCGACTGTGGTTAACAGCAATTTCAAACCCACACAATCTCAGCAGATTCTACAGGCGGATACGACACAGATGTCAGTCACTTGGTACGGTCACAACATGCAGTTGGCTTCTCAGTACAAACTTCTACTGGAATGCCAGGACCAGCTGTGCTTCAGGACAGGGTCCACTGTGTCTGACTCTCTTACTCCCTCCCTCTTCATGGCCTTTCTAAAACCCCTATGACTTTGGCCTTCTGGACTCTTGAGGCAAAGGAAGACATGGGGGATGAGAGCTCCAGTGTGGACAGTCGATTCCCAAGACCCCTTTCAGTCCTTTCCACAGCAGACACTGCCTGTAATGCCCCCAGCACTCACACACTCCTGACAACACTGAATACAGAACACTCGGGCACACTTTACTGCCCAGATAAAAATAAACTGCCCAGATGTGCTCACTTGGATGTAAAACAGTCTTTCCATGTCACCAAGAACACTTTAAATAAAACTCAAAACCTATTTAATATTATCATTTGAACATGGTTTAATTGCCAAATACTTGTCATTAGAAAGCAGGGAATGTGTTTCTGTATACATGCACATAACTAAAAAACCAGTACCTGGAAGGGCTCATAGAACAGTGCCTCAACTCCTTCAGACAGGCCCCGAATTAGTCCAAATGGGTTTCCAAGCACATCTAAGCCCAGTACAAGCACGTACATCTGCTTTAAGAACTAAAAAAGAAAAGAGAATCAGCTACGTCCTTTCTGAATGCCGGAGAAATTTTAGGAAGCAACGGGAGACGGGACAACAGTTAAGGGGCAGCATGTGTAGCAGCCACCTGCAGCCCCACAACCTGATACCCATCATGTGCCTTAAATCAGCAGCTGACATTTAATAGTCATGTGACCTCAGACAAGCTATCTGGTCTGTTAGTCTTGGCCTTCCCAGCTGCAAAGTGGAAGGCTATACTGACCTTGCATGGAAGAGTATGAATAGCAAATGAATATAAAATTCAGTGGCCATTCGCTGTCTTTATTATTTTATCACTATTAAATTATATAGGAATAATTAGTAACTAAGGCAAAATAAAGAAAATTTATTCTTGTTTGAACCTACTGTTCACGTGAATCACAAAAAGAATGATCTCCCAGCGGAGGATGGAGAGACAAATGGAGCCCCGAAGTTCCTTGTGGCAACTGCACCTGAGTGGCCTGTGAGGCCGCCCACTCTTTGTCTACATACCCAATTCACTCAGTAGCTGATGCACAGGCAGAAGCTGGCTTGGAAAGCCTCAGGAGCCTCTTGCAGTGCCTTAGCCTACATCTTACATTCCCTGAAGTGGTAAAGGTATCATTGGAAAAGGAAAGGACCCTGGAAGAAAACATTTTGGAATGTGTTCTGGAAGGCAAGCTAAAGAAATAGAAACTACCCGAATGCACAAGACCTGCATACCATCAAGCCAGTCAAAACCCCAGCAGGGATGTGGCCACTAAGAAGCTGCCCATGCTCCAGGGAGATGATCCCACACCCCAAATACAGGCAGCACTAAGTGACCTCAATGCATTGAGAGAGAAACACAGAGAGAGAATGCATAGGAAAGAAAGGGGGTGGGGAGGAACCAGAAGGCAGGAAATGGGGGAGTGGATTTAATCAAAACATTATCTGCAAATATGAAATGTTCAAGAAAAAAAAGAAAAGAAAATTACTAAGAACATGTAGGCTACATGATAGAAATCAGTTCATTGTAAAACTAGCCTAAAATTATACTTGAGCCTTTGTATCTTAATGAAATAAAAGAAAGTCGATCTAGAGCAAAACTCATTTTTAAGAAAGAACTGAAAAGTCACTCAAGAAAACCACTAAGCAGTGCCGAGTTTGGTGGTACACACCTATAAATCCAGGGCTGGGCAGACTGAGAACAGAAAACTGGGAGTTCAAGGACAGCCTCAGCTGTGATGTTTAAGGCCAGCCTGGACTGCGTAAGAGCATGTCTTACAAGCAACAACAACAAAGCCAAGAGCAATAAGACTGAGGTCAATCAATCACATCAACATTTCCACACAGGTACCCTCTCATGCACCCATTTTATGGTACTTTAAAGCGTGTAGTAGGGAGTTACCTGTTCACTGTAGTGTCTAATAACACTCCACATGAGTTGATCTCTCTTGTAAAACTGATAGCGAATCTCATAGTAAGCAAGTCTAGAGGAGACAGGGGCAAGAGTTAAGGCTACTACAATGATGTTCTGAGTAAAGAGAAACCTTCAGTAGCAGCTGATTCTAGTAACATAACTTATAGTTGGTATCTTAATATTACGGTATAAATTTTTATAAAAACAGTTATTCTCATGTAAGGTCTTTTTTTTAATAAAAAGAAAATCCTTTATTTATTTACATAAATAAAGAGAAAAACAGTTTTTAAAAGTCAGCCACAGGGACAGTGATTTGGCATGTGCTAGAGCATGATCATGCATGTACACATGCGCGCGCGCACACACGCGCGCACACACACACACACACACACACACGCACAAATAAAAATCACAATAAAAATGACATGTGTTTTCTCATTGCTTCTCACTTTTGATTCTTTCCTCTTCTGCGTGGCCATAAAACTTAGAACATTCTGTATGTCACTTTTAAACTCAACATTATGTATTTCTATTTTACTGAAAATTCCCAGTAAGCATTTGAATACACGTGTAGCATTCCATTATACAGCAGAGTCAGAGAGTAATTCCTGCTCTCAGACATGCCCGAGGTTGTCATGATAAAGGGCACTGCCAGGTGCAGAACAGGGTACCTCTTTGACTGTATTCAGGATCATTTCATAACCGAATGCCCCCACTGAGTGACCAACAACAAAAACCTGAAAGGTATCCATGTGTGTCTATCTGCATATGTGTGCATATGCATATACTCACATATACGTTTCCAGTCACAAAACTATCATGTTGCAAGAACCCATTTCTTAAACTGGAAGTGTTGAATGCAAGTGTTCGTTATTCCTGTTTTGAGGTCTCCATTTCATTTGCATGTACTGCCGCTAATACTGCTGGGCATCTCTAATTCCTGCCTGCCACTCCCATTTTCTTCTGGGAGCCTCCACACAGTCTGTGGCCCTACTGTCCCTCACTCTCGCTATGAGTGTGTAACGCTGAGATCCGAGCAGTCTCCCTGTCTCATCTGCCATCCTGTTCCACAGGGGCATTTTGAGAAAAGTGTCTGGGGTTGTCTTCTTTTCGGCCGGGTGAATTAAACTTGGGGGTCTTGTCTTCCAACACCACACAGGCACATACACACTCAAGGTCTACCAATGAGCTGAGTGTTTAGCCCAAGTATTTAACCCCTAGGTCGAACCTATCTCATATTTCCACTGGGATGCTCTCAGTGCCTTTCGAAGAGAAAGACAACTCTACTCAGAGGCTGGACAACAACTTCTTTGACTTACATGTTTGTGTTGTGCGTGAGTGCTTGGCTGGGGATGTTCCTGTGTTGTGGTACACATGTATGTATGTGCAAGTACACCCCAAAGGATTGTCTGCCATTCATATTGGTTGGTCTGGAAATGGCCACGTAGACTAGACTGGCTGCAGTGAGACCCAGGGACCCACCTGTCTCCACCTCTCACCACTAGGACCCCAAGTGCACACAACCGCAGCTGGATTTGGAGGGAGGGGTCATTTGGATCTCAAGTGATTCACCAGACAAGCGTTCTCCCCAGCCCCCAACTTTTTGAAGTCTTTCAGTTCGAATTTTATATTTTTCTCCCCATTTCCTCTAAAACTTGGTACACCATGAGATGTGAACAATCTACAAAGACTTTTTCTCTCAGGTAACTGCTATTCCTACACCTGTGCAGAATATTCATGTCAGTGGACAGCCATGGAGGGCAGGCGCAGCTGTCACGGACACACAGCCTCCTCATAAGTGCAGAAAGGGGTTTTCATCTCTATAGTTTGCTATATATCACACTGGAGCCTCACTCCCCTGCTACATTTTGCTCTAACAGTAGTAAAACACAATTCACAATACACAGATCAGAAGCATTCAGTTTTTATGAAATATCCACAAGTAAAGCCCTGTGTGTAACTAGACTGCCCACACTCAAGTCATGAGCAAAAGGACTCACCCATTCTCTAAGCTAACGCTGCACTAATGATGGGAACCAGTATCCTGAAGCCCCTCAGGCACACACTTTAACAAGGGCCTTACTTGAATATGAGGTCATCCACATCGGTCAGAGTGGCACCTATGCTTTTCAACAGCAGGTTCACAGAATGAATTGCAATCATTTCCTGTTTCTCTTTGTCAGATTCCTCACCTCCGGAACCCAAAGACAGACTCAAGTGCAACTGAAAGAAAAATAACGTTCAACATATGAAAAACCCAAGCAAAGCTGTGTAGACACAGGGATCAGAATCTTCCAGCACCTAAGGTGCCCTGGGAAAGCCATCTGCATCCTGCTCACCCACTACGGAACAGACTCAGCGCCTGTACATTTGGTTCCTGCTTGTCTTTCTATAAAATGCAAAGTAGCCTGATCTCAGATTAAAGTGGCATTCTTAAAGTGATAAACACCTCTGTGTCCACACAAAAGAATCCTTAGCAAAATGGAATCACCACCTAAGAATAAAACAGGCCAAGTGGCATACGAACAGTCCACCAGGCAAAATAATGGTAACCATTTACTTCTAGCCAATTAAGGCAAATCATTTATGATAACAATTAACAATTACAATTTCTGAAAACATTAATCACAGTAATAACAACTGATCTTCACTTGTTGATTAGAGTGAAACTGTTACATAAATAGCTAGAACGAAACTGTTACATAATCTATTACATAAATAAAGCAATTTTAAACTTAGAACTGTGGAAATGCCTGATTTCTCCAAACTAATACAACGGTTTAGAATAGTAATTCCGTTTCACACATCCTGCTAGCTGAAAAAACTGGTGAATGTAACTGAGTCAATGGTGCTGTGGACAGTTCCCAAGAACACAAAGGATGTCAGTAGTGCAAGGCACACTTAATCACCAATCTGCCCACTGTGCAAGCACAGTGCACTCTAGTCCGCTACATCTGTGTAGCTACTAAGAAGTCATCCTTCCCTGTACGAGCGGAGAAGAACAACAAAAGGGGGAAAGGAAACAGATTCACAAAGTACAAAGTCAGGGAAGTGAGAGTATTCAATTTTCCACTCCCTCAGTTACAGTCACACTCGAGAAGGAACAGCAGCACCACGTCAGCAGCGTAACAGCCAGTTCAGCACTCTGACGTGCTGGTGAGGCGCCAATCACAGCTGTGTTCAGTGGTGGCTGCGACAGAGCACAGCCAGAACATTAAACCCTGGTAAGCACTCTCTGCTTAATTAAGAAACACGGCTGTCAGCATCTCCCCTGAGCACAGAGGCTATTAACTCAACACTGGAGAACACGCTCTGGTGCTTCCTCCCGGGAATTAGGGCTGCACATATGTCACAGAGGACTGTCTTCACTGTCACCATTAGTCACGTGAAACCTCACCAAATACCTGGTGTACCAAGTGAAGCTGTGCTGGTATATGACCCCTTCAAAAGTCCTGAGGCAATCTCACTCCCTTCTAACAACGGACCTTAACAGGGGAAATATGGAAGTGCTCGAAGAAACTCAGGATTGACATGTCGGTCCCTGAAGACACCATGAGCTCTGTGTTGAACGCATCGATGTCTTGTTGGATTAACTTTGTCTGGAAAAAATGTAAACGATTAATTTTTTTTCCTCGCTATAGAAACTAGCTCAAAAATAGCTACATTTTTTTTGTTTGTTTTGTTTTGTTTTTTACATTTGGCTGAAGAATTAAAAACTGTTACCCGTTTTCTTTCAGCCTCAGGATCACTTGTTGGGGTAAACAGTGCAATAACAGCTCCAAGGAACCCCTGATCAATTTTTAAGGCCATTTCCTGGATGAGAACCATAAAATACCTGTGGGGCAAGCAAACATATATTAGGTTTATTTACATAAAACATGTATGTGTGTACATACACATGCACATATACATGCACATACACACACATATGTTTTAAGCCAGGAGTAGGGGTGCACATGTTTGACCCAGCACTCAGAAGGCAAGGGCACATAGATCTGTGAGTTTGAGAACAGCCAGGGCTACACAGTGAGACCTTGTCTCAAAAAAAAAAACAAAAAACAAAAAAAACATTCTAAACATGATCATAACTGATATTTTTCACCCAAAAGCTACATTAAGTTCTTACTTCTCTGTGTCTTAACATTATGATAATAAGATCAACGTCTCCTTAAGCTGACATTTTTACTCATTACAGGGAAAGCCACAACTGACTAATACTGCTGTGTTAGCACTTATCACTGAAAGCCCCAAATGCCCACATTCATCATGTCACAGGAGAGATGATAAATTAGAAGTCACAGTACATATCATGTGATTTTTAAAGTTCAAGGCACCTGCTTTAAAGAATACAGCACACAGATCTGTATACTTTATATTCTAATTGGAATTAGAGATGGTTAAAGTCATTCTGAATTTTAAAACATGTGCAGACTACTTTAAAATATGCTTAAGTACTAAACAGTTCACCAACCCAAAGTAGATCAATATACTGATTGGGAAAAGAATTTTTGTACAGAAGCCACTCCCAAGGGAAAAAAAAAATGACAACAAGTTATTTTCAAAATTGACCCTTGTTTTACTCCCTGGAGCCGCACAGTAGAACTCTACTCACTTGAACTGTAGGACTTTACTGTACTCATTGAATCTTGTAATGACACTTATGTCGATGAAAGGTTTGGGTTCTAAAAGAAACACAACATAGAAGAACGAAGTCAGCCACCTCACCGGGCAAACTGATGTCTCCTCAAGTTTTTATGAAGGGTGTGCCAATATTCCTCTCTTTTCTCTTCTTACCTGAATCCAGGGCGATGGATTTGGGAGGAGCCACGGGATGAAACACAACTGGGAACATTGTACCTGGTAACTGATTATCAACCTGGGGGTACAAACATTTGACCAGGTTAGAAGAAGTCGAACATAAACGCTGGGCTTCAGAGACAGCAATGGAGCCTCTGCATGCACAGGAGAGCCACCAGCAGCTTCATTTATGAAAAACAAACGCTACGTGTCCCAGGGAGGCCTTCACTAGAGAGAAGGAACGAAAACCCTCAGATCTGCATTGGCCTTGTGCAGCGGATGTTTCGGCTCTGGAATGTGAGATTCTGACTCTTCAGGCTCAAATAAAATGAAAGCAGCGAGGGAATATTAAATTAGAAAAAGTGGAAAGAGCAAAAGGTGTCCTATATAAAACTTGGCAGGGATGGAGGGAGACTAAAGGAAAGGTGGGAGAGGAAATCAGGGAGGACTAGGAAGTAATCACCCCCAAACACAGCCCAACGGTGCCTTGCTCTTTGCTACCAAGAATGACAAAAAAAAATATTAGTCGGGGCTCTCCTGACAAACCGAAAGGAACATTTAAGAGCAACATAGTAGTGTAAGGAAACACCTTGGCAAGCCAGTGGTCAGGCTGACAGTCTTAATAGCAAGCAGTGCTTTGGACTGGGATGGTGGCAGCTGAATCCGCAGGTGTGTGAAAAGAGAAAACACACAGGGATATCAACAACAACAATAATAATACCAATTTACTTTTACAAGTTGACCTCTGAGGACTGGACTGAGGCCTCATGCACACTACACCTACTCTTCTCAAGCGGCATCCCAGCGCCCCATCAGATAATGTAACACAGGTCATGGCTCTCTAATAAATTAGGTCTCATTTCCTTGTTTTCCTAAGTGGTCACACAGATCTCTTCAGCTGAGAGCGATGGTGTTACCTGGAGCCAGTATAACCGGGCCCTTAAGCTTCTCTGGTGAGGGGACTGCTTGAATTCAACCTGAATCCCTGATAAGAAGTCCCGTTTAATAAGGCACCGCATAGGAAGCCGCATTTCCATTGGGACTTTGTCAAAGTTGACCTGTAAAAGACAAAAGCACTTTTGTGATTGTCACCCAGCAACTATTTGATGGCTTTTAAAACATCGCACTCATGATGTTGCGTGAGCTCAACACCTGCTCATCTCTCTGTCTCACAAAGGCAGCTTGCTTTGTTTCCTTTGTTTTCCTGAGGCCAGGTCTCAAGCTACAGCCTAGGCTCTCCCCAAACTCACAGCAATCCTCCTGCCTCAGCCTCCCAAGTTTGGACTTGACACACACGAGCCACTACAACAACCAGAGAAGCTCTTCGGGTCTTTGCAGCTACAGCCTGTGCAGCAGAAGGATGGCCTTCCTAGAACTAACTAGGGAACTAGAATTCTGAGTGCCTTACATTGCAGAAACTACTTAAAATGATGTATAGAAAAAATGAGCAGTAATAGAGAACTCCAGTTCAAAGGTTCAAAAACTCCATTTTTAAAGGTTTTATTTATCTCATTTTTATGTTATGTGTATGAGTGTTTTGCCTGCATGTGTACGGGCACCACAGCATGAAGTGCCTGTGAAAGCCAGAAGAGGGCATCGGATACCCTGGAGTGGCAGTACCCACATCTAACGATCATTCACACTAGCTGAAATAACAGAGCAAAGTTTATGTACATTTTTCACCCATGAAGTATCTAATATCACAGTCTGTTTTCATCAATGTGAAGGTGTGAAAAAATGTTTAACAGACATAAAGTCTCCATAAATTTACTGAAAACAAATTCCATGGAACCGGTAAGCAAGAAGAACAATCAATAAACACAGAGAAGAAAGCCAAGGTTAAATAGTTTTGTAGCTATGTTTTAATTAGGTATATTGACAAGCTCCCTAATAAATACAGGTCTATTTGCTTTTATTTTAGTTTCTATATACAGGACGTTAAAATTTTACTCATTCGTAGTACCACTATCTAGACCACAATACCTATGAAACTAAAGCCACAAACCATAAAGCCATAAAACAACACATTTGTATACCTCGAAATTACTGTCCAGCTTAATCCAGCCACGCTCCTGTGAAGCAAGATGCTTCTGATAGGACTGCTCCAGCAACATTATCTGCTTCTGACTGAATGGCTTCCACTTCTGCTTTGGCTTCATCTCCCAAACAACACCTGAGCTAAAACAATTCACACAGGAAATTAAACTGTAAGTGTATGTTTTAACGGAACTGTTGCTGAATTTTGAATTTATCTGGCTATCAACTTCCTGTGACAATTATTGATACAAGAGATGTTTTTCGATATAATAGGGTTTTTTTGTTGTTGTTTCTGTTTTTTGGGACAGGGTTTCTCTATGTAGCCTTGGCTGTCCTAGACTTGATTTATATATCATGCTGGCCTTGAACTCACAGAGATCTGTCTGCCTCTGCCTCCCCTGTAAGGCATGCACCACTGCGCCCAGCACAAGAGGTTGTTTTTTTTTTTTTAGTGAACCCATATTTATTAAAGTCAGTAAGTTCTTACTTTCCTGCCTTAAAAAGATTGCTTTTCCAATCTAGAAGCTTAAGCACCCATCCCCCCCCCACACACACACCAAAAATTTTTTTCTCTTTTCGTAGCCTGCAGTGTACATCAGAATAAGGAACTGAGCCAAGGATGAGTATTTGACAGTCACTAGGAACCTAGCTGATGCACAGACAATGTCTGTATGTATCCCTCCCTATAGTGGGAAGGACACTCAGATCTGGCATTACTGCTGAGGACTCTTTAAATCCAAGGTAACGATTTTTCTGTCATCTGCATGTTAACTACAATACTGCGAGATTCGGCCGGCATGCCGAAAACAATGCTGGCTTCCTAGAAACAGGTCACTGTAGAACCATAAACATGTTGACATATATATATATAATGGGCTTGGTTTTGTTTTTTTGGTTTTTTTTTTTTTTTTTTTATCTGTAAAGTATAGTTTCAGTTTTTAAGAACCAAAGGTAACACATACCGTAATGATTCCCTCCATAGGAGCCAAATTGGGCAATATGCTTTTGTGAGAAGGGTTCCTTAGATTCAAAACACATTAAAACCCTTTCTTTTCAGAATATACAGTGGAGTCATGGTAGAAGAAACTGTTCTGAACAATGCTTAAAAAATGAAATACAAGCGTCTCTCCTTCCTCCCTTTATACTTGATGCTTGGGGGAACAGAGCACTAACACAGAAAAACACTACCATGTTTTTTATTTTAAAACCAATGACTTATCTACTTTTGTGCATCAAAATGAAAGTGGTTAAAAGTAATCAGTACCTGCTAACTATATATGATTATCTTTTGTACAGTGTGTTGTTTTCTTAAATAGAAAACCAAGCATCACATAATACACATCTAAGCTAACAGGGACTTAACCTATCAGTTCAGCAGACCTTTACTGAAGACCTGTTGCCACAGGCAATGCCATTTAAAAACAAGTCTTCACATTTCACTTTTGTACCTATTCTTCCTCATCAGCCATAGACTTTTAAGATTCTTTTAAAAAAGTAAATTTCACCTGCCTGCAAAGATGCGTGAAAGAGCAAGACAAGGGGGAAATATCTTTCATGGTAACACACTAGCATCTATCAAGCAAATGACTGTTTCTGTTTATTTTTATATAGGACCACAAAGGTTGTACATTGATGATGTCAAAGAAAGAAAAAACACTTCCATAAAACTAAACACAATTTTTAAAAACATGAATCCATGAAAAATTCTTTCAGAGGTGTCAACATTTTACATAATCATTGTTCCTGATTATCAAAATCAAGTACAAATGCTCAATGGTTCAAGTGAATTTTAAAGAACCATCCATGGAGAGGACCCAGATACCTGGCTCAGATGAAGCCCATGGGCAGCTCAGTCTCCATGTGGGTTCCCTAGTAAGGGGAGCAGAGGCAGTCTCTGTCATGAACTCAGTTGCCTCCTCTTTGATCACCTCCCCCTGGCAGGGCGACTCTGCCAGCCCACAGAGGAAGAAGATCCAGGCAGTCCTGATGAGATTTGATAGGCAAGCGTCAGAGAGTAGGGGAGGAGGACCCCCCATTTCAGTGGAGTAGGGGAGGGGAATAGAGGGGGAAGAGGAAGGGAAGGTGGAGCAGGGAGGAGATAAGGAAGGGGATATAATACACAATTGGGATATAAAGTAAATAAATTGTAAAAAATAAAAAAATAAAGATTTATTGTTTATTTATTCAACTACATGAGTGTTGCCCCTATGTGCAACACTCACAGAGGCCAGAAGAGGGCGGAAGGTCCTCAGGAGAGGGAGTTAGAGACTTTTTTTGAGTCACTCAACATGGGTGCTGGGACTCCAGAGTCTCTCTACAAGAGCAGTAAGTATTCTTAACCTCTGATCCATCTCTCTAGCCTCTTATTTGCAATTGCAAACAATCAGATTACAAGGAAGTTCCTTAACTGGACAGATCGATTTGAAATGTAAACATTTCCTTTGCATATAATATCAAGGTCCAAAAATGTTGCTGCAACTAATATAAAACATAAAAAATGTAACTGATATAAAACATATCTTCTCCAAACACACAGGGATTGAGACCTTTTAGCATAAGGCAGCACAGGCGATACACACCAACAATCTGACATAGTGTGATTTAAACATTAACTATCTTAAAACCGAGCTGTGGCAATAAAAATTTTGCGTATAAGCACTATCTGGCTTTCTAATTTTCAATTAAAGTTCATATAGAAACACTGTCAGTTCCTTAGCAAAAGACAGTTCCAGTCAGAGTGCAAAAGCAGTGCATGAGTGTAAAGGTTTCACTCTTGGCTCAGAATTTAAGTGAGAGGCTTCCATTGCTAAACCATTCAACTGCTGTGTGGTATGACCCAGGACAACGAACTTCTACTGCATCAAAGTCACAGGGCTGACGGTGGTTAAACCACGAGACTGAGTTTGACAACACACAACAGATTCAAGTATTTCCCCATCAAGTATCTGCTGACACACAATACAAAGAACAGAAGGCGTGAAACGCTTCACACTTTCAAAGTTTTTTTTGAAACTGTCCAATAAGATTCTGGTCCCAGTTGTAATGCATTTTAGACTTCAGCATAGTCATGCAGAATTCATCTTTCCCATGTTTGAAACTATTCCCATCAGCCATTTTAAGCTCTGCAGTGACTTCCTACTTGCACAGTGACTGAGCGCAAAGGAAGAGCTAGGGAGCCATCAGCACCACCGGCCTTTTGTAGCTGGCTGATGTTGTTCTGAATGTCCTTACCTCCTTGTACAAATGTCCTCACCGAAACGCCAATGGCCTTAAGTACTTTGTCATCTCTGCATACATCTCTTTAGCTGCTTCAGCCAGAGGGACTCAACTAGCTCATGACAGACTACAAAAGGCTTTCCTTGCGAAACTTGACAAATGAGTCCTCCAGAAGATGACTTTGGCTATAGCTTCATTCATGTTTATCTCTGTGAAAACTCATGCTCTGGTGAGATGTTCTGTCTTAAAACTTTCTGAATTTTCCAGCCACTGTTCACCTGCAAACATGCTTACTCTGGAAGTGTCAGTGTATTCCGTATTTTGCTGGCACAGCTATAATGGCATTATGCAATAAATTAATGCTTTGTCAAAATTAGAGCTCACTCTGCTATGCCCTAAAAGAGAGACATTCAAGGTCCATTTTTCCTGTGCTCACATGATGGGTATCTAGTAGTGGGAATAAATACACAATAATAGCAAGACAGTATTGACTGTGATTTTACTGCACAGAGGAATGGCAAGAAAGCAGCTACACATGATAAATAGCTCCCCAAACCAATCATGGGCCATACATTGTGAATTTCATATAATTTCACTTCTTACAAGATATTATCTTGTGTTTTTCCATCTTTTCAATATTAAAAACTTTGGTTTGAAATCAAAAGCTCTACATAAACATGCAGTGGATATATGTGGCTTATAACTTGTACTTTGCTGAGGTATATTAAAGAATACTGTTCATAAAATAAATATGAATTTATAATATCTTTGATCAGGAGATGATAACTATTCAGGAGTTTTCTCAGTAGAAACAGAAGCAGAGAAAATAACTGGCTATAAAAGTTCCAAAAAAAAAAAAAGTTCCAAATAACTAACCATTAAAGACTTAGAATCTGGAGTGAACGGCTGCGTGGGCATGGTGAGCTGGCCTCTCACTTCTCACACTGTGCTTGCAGGCACAGTGATTATCTAGTGATTATCTAGCTAACAAACTTCCAGCTCGATTTCTCACTTAGGGAAGTGAGTTTACAAGGTTCTGGCATTTCACAGGGCTAACTGTAGTTACTGGTGCCCACATATTCCTTTCCCCACACCCTCCTGGCTGCCTGCTGGGGCATCAGAGAATTTAGCTGCTGTTCACTTAGGAAACCTGCCCCTTTTCTCAGAGATGCATAACAAGGGACCCAGACTCTGCCACATAGGCCTGACTCCACTACAGAGTTCCTGCAAAGCTATCTTTGATACTGAAGGCTGAACTCTCCTAGGAGTGTGTGCACAAACATGCTGCTGTCTGTAAACTTTAACCCTCAACAATCCATCCCAATGTCTTGAACCTCACATCTCGGACATATATATATTATATAATATATATATTATATAATATATTATATAATATATATACTGATATATACAGATATTTATATACATATTTATACTGTGATTATATATATATATATATATATATATATGTAGTTTCCTTTATGAACACTTTTCCTATCCCATGGCATGCTAATTTACCCAAATTCAACTACAAAAAATAAATTATTTTCCCTCTAGATGCAGATACTATTTTCAGTTTTTCTCAATGTTTTTGTAACTCATTTTTTTTTGAAACAGAAAAGAAAGAAGGGAAGGAAGGAGGAAGAAATGGAAAGAGAGAAGGAAGGAAGAAAGGAACAAAGGAAGGAGGGAGGGAGGGAGGGAGGGAAGGAAGGAAGGAAGGAAGGAAGGAAGGAAGGAAGGAAGGAAGGAAAGAGGGAACAAAACAAAGAAGGAAGGAAGACTGAAGGAGAAGATGACTGACTTTCTTCCCTGACAACTGACATGAGTACAGAGAGGATGCAGAGAGTCTCTGAGTTCCTCTGTGTCTCTGGGCCTCTCAGCTATCAGTCCAAACAGCTACTTAGTCAGTAAGTCAAATTGGAACAGGGATCTGTTTAGACTCTCACTAACAGGGTATTATGAACTCAGGAACTTCTAAAGATTCCTGCATCTTATTTCCCTTTGTGTATACCTGGTGATTCCCACATAGGAGACTTCCTGCTTGTTTTCATTGTTAACCAGAGAGAGCCCGAGGCTGTGCAGTGACAAGGAGACTTCGTGATCAGCCTGCTCCATTTCTTCCGCCTGGAGAGCTTTGGAAACCATGGCAACATCATCTGTGAAAAGCAGGACCCTCTGGCGGCCGTCGAGGAAGGACACCCAATGTATCTGTATATTCGCATCATATGGAAACTGTCCACACTCATCCTGGAGAAAGAGATTTTGAGTTAAACCTGTATGAGCTTTTCATACTTAAAACTGATTTTAATAACTGGGGAAGATCAGAAAAGCTTTAAAAAAAAAAAACTACTGTAAGATAGAGAACCCCAGTCATCAAACTGACATAAGGTCAGCATTTACATAAAAATAACAGTGACACTCATCAGGTATGGGGATAGGACGGAGTGGATAAAGTGGAACTCTACAAGTGAATTCTAAAGTTTGGAGCTCTAGAACTCATTTAAAAGCTAAGTGGAGAGGGTGGCTGTCAATAATGTGGGGGGGCAGAGGAATCTGGGGCAAGCTGACTACTTAGACTAGCCACATTGAGAGACCCTGTCTTGATAAAGTAGGAAGTGATTGAGGAAGACAACAGAAATCAATTCTGGGGTTCTACATGCATAAGTACATGCCCTCACATACTCAGAAATGTGCCAACATATATACACACATGCCCACAAAATACATACTAGAGGGGACATGCGAAGGTACTGAGTGCATTTGGCCTTATTGAATGGTCACAGGATGGGGTCAGGGGATGGAAAGCTACAATATGAAAGTAAACGGTTGGGGGTTGAGTTGACCAGGGTGAGCCTGTGACTGTTTATGCCATCAACTTGGCAGGGTCTAGAGTCAAGGGTCTAGACCTTGGAGACAGGTCTCTGGACTTCTAAATCAAGTTAATAGGGGTGGTAAATACTCCTACATGTACACAGCACCCTTCCAGGAGCTGCAGTCCCAGCTTGCATAAAAAGGAAAAAGCAAGCTGACTACCAGCATCCATCTCTCCCTGTCCCCTTACTTCAGACATAATGTGACCAGCTGCTTCACTCTCCCTGCCTGGATGGCCTGTACCTCCGTGAGTGACAAGAGGCCCGAGCACACAACACACTCTCAACAAAGATGCCTTGCCAGTTACTCTATCATAGTAAGCAGATAAACAACCACTACAAATTATCTGCATTATAAATCACAAGAGTAACCTTCTTAAGACATTTCAGCTCACTTTTGTCCCATGGAGACAGCACTTCTCTATCAAACGGTACCTTTAAGAGGTCATGCTCCCCAAAGTTCGCCGCATAGCTCCAAGTGAGTTTCCTAGTGCCGGTGGGGTCTGCCCAAGCAAAGAGTCGAGTTTCTCTTGGCAGCAATACTAGTTCCTCCTGCGACCCACTGAAACGATTGACAGAGGGAAGATGAGTACGCTCTGGCCCAGAGAATAATGACATACATTTCTTCCCCAAAACAAGTGCACTCACAGGTTCTGTAACTAGCAGTTCTGAAGCCTGTGCAGACGGAATGTGGCAGTGCCGTGCACCTCCAGAGAGGTGCACTTACCATTACCAGGTTACAAAGGGAGGGGCCATGTTTAAGACGTGACTTCACAGTCCTTTGTCTGCACCCTGAAATTCATAAAGACCCGAAGCTCAACAACTTTTCCTCATGTTTGCTATCAAGCCACTTGACAAAAAGACCCTTCTGAACTGATTTGGATCTTTAAATAGCATCTATTTGTCCTAGTTCATGCTGTAGAAATATAAAAGTGGTTGATGAATGGATGGATACTGTGCCAAAACCGGTCAGTGTGTTAGAAATAAACACCACAGACTCCTTGCCACCACCGTAAAGTTTGAAGACATCTGGGATGTGAGACTCCAACATTTTTCCGAAGGGACCGTGGATCAGTGAGAGCAGAGTCGAGATTCTAATGGAACCTGTTCCCATACCTCTGTCTATATGTGAGGACATCCCACTGCGTGTGGTTCATTATCAAAGCAGGTGCAGATCCCTCGTGGTAATCAGAGAAGGTTATGACAGTTGAGTGTTCAGCAGTGTTTATATCCACCAAGATACCCCCATTCTGTTTCAGAAAAAAAATATATCTATATCTATATATATTCAGTTTACTGGTTCAATCTCGATTACACGTTCAATTACCTGAACAGATACACTACTTACTTTCTAAAGTTCCTACTGGCTCTGGTTTTTACAAACATATGCTGGCATTAAACGGGCACATAGAAGCCCTAACAAGTAATTACCAGAGCTCTACAGCACAGCTTACAGAAATATGTTCAAGCAACTTTTAAAAGTCAAAGACACCATGTTCTACAATATGAAGACTTACCAGATCTTCTAAGCTCAGTAAAGTGCCATTGTCTTGTCGGTTGTAAAAGAATGGCTTGGAAGATCCTTCGTAGCCCACCACTCTCACACAAAGTTTGCCAGACAAATTTTCAGGCCAAAATGGAATGCACTGAAAACATTAAGTATAACATCAGTTTTTAAACTGTGCTGTGACAAAAGACACTGCCTCATCAAGCATGCACAGCACGGACCTATTAAAAACAAAATAAAACACTATTCCTGTAAATATGAAACCAAAATGCACTCATCAGGACAAACATCTATTAATCTATATGCAATTGTAGCAATTACATTATAAAAACCTCGAAAGCATATTGACTAAGAATGCCGCCATAGCCTGCATACTTAAAACCTATACTCTTCATGGCATTTGCTTTTGTGTCTTGCCAAATTCACTTCACTGATGCACAAAGAATTTTTCACAGAGCATCTTCTCTACACACACGAGAAAGCCAAAAGCAGCCACGGAAGGAGCCACCATACAACAGACTACAAGTTCAGACCCCAAGAGCAGCAGTGAAGATCTTAATTAAAATATAACAGCTTGAGCTTCTGTTTCTCCATCTATAAAAGGGGACTCTTAGTTCTTCATACATCACAAAATGGGGTTCTACTGTAAAGCACTTGGTAAATTCTATTTCTGAATTGACATACTACTGCAGCAAACCCACATCCAAGATAAGAAGACAAGCATTTCTACAGAGCACACTGGGTCTATACACTTTCCGTAGCACAGCTATTGATTTTCATCGTATGGGAAGAACTAGAGAATGGACTGCTAGCCATCGACCAGGAAATATTACCAATAATTTTCTACAGGGTGAAATAAAGATCTTTTGAGGCTACTGTCGTACTTAACACCTATATATGAGATGGTGTAACAAGATTCACATTTACATGTTTCTCTTTATCTACACATTTTAGAAATCAGGCATATTTAGGGAAGTTTACCTCTGAAGAAGCGACATAGTGCCATTTGTTGGTTGGTATGGAATCATCAGGGCCAATCTCTCCAACTTCTAGCTCTAAAGAAGACTTGTTTGCAACAGTCCAGAAGGGGGTCAGAGTGACTATCCGTGAGAGGTTAAAACTGCTCATTTTGATGCTAACCCCGACCTGAGGGAAGAAAACAAACGAGATTGTTCTCCTGCTCTTTATTCAGTGTCAAAAATAAAGACATATGTCACACATACGTAACTTAAAATATCTAGAGAAGAATTGTTAAATAAAGCAACTAATAAAAGCTGTGTTCTACCACCATTTCTCTCTCTCTCTCTCACACACACACACAAAGACCTGGTTTCTTACATCAGCTTTATCAGAAATCAACAGCAGAACACAGATCACCATATCAATAATAACTGGCAATGACAGATCTACTGTCTAGTTTTTTGTTACTTCTTATTAATCCAAATGTTAATTGTGTTATAGTTAGTAGGCTCAAATTTTATTTGTCAGTTACCAATAAAATTAGAATTATGAAGCAGTAGTAATGGGTTACGTGACATCAGATTATTTAAATTTTCAAAGTAGTCAAGCTTAAGATTTAAGACTTCAATGATGGGATATATGGAGTGAAGATTTTCGTGTTATCTTGAACAGGAACCAAGTTGCCCCCTCCAATGGATTCCACCCCCTGTTTAAATTCTGGCAAATTCAAGTTCTGTTTTGATACAGTAATCACAGAAATCTACAGACAGTCCTACATAGAATAGTTTGACTGAGAGCTCTGTTCACTTTAGGAGCCGGCTTATTTACTGGAGCGTGGAAATGTATACGAAGCCAAAGCAGATGTTCTTACCAGGTATTCCATATTGGTGGCAGGGCACTTCACACACCCATAGCTACCCACAGTGTCCAATGAGAAACCATTGGACCAGGCACTTGTTGAAATTTTTAACTGTACCTATACCAGAGAACACATAACATATAAGAAGCCTAAAGGATGGTATTAATTTCACTGCTTTTATAGAAACCGCTAGACTTCTGGAAACTCCAGTATCTTGAGACACAAAAATATAGTCAAAGAAGAGAGGTATAGCTCTGACCTTCCCATTCACCTCAGCAATGAATGTAAATTTGACTCTAAATTATTTAATTAAAATTAGTGTACTTAAACACGGCTTTCACGTTTTCATGTTGTTCAAGTGCTATGGGACTCTGTTACAGACAGTTGAGCTCTACCCAGACCCACAAAAGTTAACCCATAGACAGGACCTAGCAAGCAACTCTAAAGCCATCTAGGTGATAATAACTGAGATCTGAGACTCATGACTGCAAGCAACATGCCTGGGATATGTGGAGTCATTGTAAGCAGAAAACCTTCTCTACATTAGTGATGAGCAGTGTCTAAGGATGGATAAGACAAGACAGGGGAAAACAGAGTCGGAGGGATTAGCAATCAGGGTAAAGGGCAGAGCATACATAAAAGCCTAGGGTCGTGTACTGAGCATGCCTGGACACTGGGCTTCTTCTCTAAAGGCTACCTTGGAAGGACAGGGAGGTGCATCTGATACAGGTCAGCTCAACTGCTGTGTGTTTTCGCATGCCACACCAGCACTACGACAGTGACTAAAATAAAGCTACTCCACCAGGCAGGACTGCAATAATGCAGTGGTCCTGCGGCGCCTGAAGAATGGGGAGCCCTGCATCAGCTGATTGCTGCTGGGAGTTCCTAATGCCCAGCTGGAATCTGCAGCCTTTAAAGTCTCATTGGACTTAATTCACACACAGCCAAGCAAGCTCTTGGATCCCCAAGTCTCTAGATTTATAGCTTTCCTATTTTAACTTGCTAGAGCATACCTTGTTTTTGCTAAAAATGTTCTTCTTCTTGAAAGAGAATAAAATGATGTCCCTGAAATCAGCTGGATGTTTAACATGTATCTCCTCAGAGCGATACTGGAGAACCCGAGTAGTTTTGTTGATTAGCCAATAGGGACTGAAGACAGACAGCTCCATCCGGCAGCCACTTCGCCTGACGTGTACTGACAAGTCAACTGTCATCACTTCCGCTGTGTCTGAGGAAAAACACACGAGGAAGAACTCGGGAAGTGTGTCGCAAATGCGGAAGTGTCCACTCCAGTTCTTGCCCAGGTATTTCACCAGGACTAACTCCATGATCTCGCCGCTGATTCGTGAGTGGAGGACGTCGGCAGCGCTGCCTTCTGCCAGCTCGTGGGTTTCTGCAGTTCCCTAAAAGCAACCACACAAAACCAAGCTTACTAGGCACAATTCCTAAATAACAAAATCCATATTTAAGACAATGCTACATATCCTAGCAAGGAAGGCTGAACACCAAATCTAACCATGCTTATATGTTAGAAATTCCCAGCAATTGCTAAGGACTCCAAAGGGAACATTCTATCACATCCACAGTGGGGGTTTCTTCTTGTTAAGTCTGTAGGCAAGCCATCCTAAGTTTTGAAAAAAAAAAAAAAAATCTATTGTCTATGCCATGAATCAAAGACTAGATCTGGGACCCAAGCTTTTTCCATTAGTGCTGGATTATAAAATGAGCCACTTCAATGAAAGGACATCAGCTTCGTCCTCTCTATTCCAAGGTCAGGGCTCATAGCTACTATATGTACAGAATCAAGAAAGGCAGGCCAAGCAAGGTGGCTCTGCTTTTAAAATGAACACTAGGGCTGGAGAGATGGCTCAGCAATACTGGTTTTGCAGAGGACCTGAGTTCAGCTCCCAGCATCCACACCCAGTGGCTTACAACAACTTGTAACTCCCAACTCCAGGAAATCCGACCTTCTTCTGGACTCCTTGGACACTGCACCCACACATGTACACACACACACTTAAAAACAGAAAATAAACCTTTTAAAAGTTGAATGCTGGTGACAGAAACTGGGATTCTTTACTGCGGCCTTCTTTACACTGATATTATTTGTTTCACTTAATTAACTTCTGTCTCCATAACTCAGGAATGGATCATTGTTTGATAAAGAAAAGGAATCATTTAGGTTCCAAAACACTCCCTAAGGCCATTGCATTTTAAAACATCATAGCACGTGCAAATTTAATTATAACATCCCATGTACCCACATAGCAGAAAGAGAATTTTATTTCCAGCATAAACTTTAAGGCAAAACATCAGGATGAGATATTTCTATTTGCATTTTTCTCTCCTTTAAGTAATAAGGCAACATAATGAAAAGATGGATGAGGTTCTTAATTCGTGACAGGCACAGCAGAGGAAAGCAGCAGGGCTTGGAAAGCTGAGCTGCTAAGTTTGGAATCCCAGCTTCACCGCTGCTAGGAGGAGGATGTCGGATGAGACACCTGATCCCTCTGTGACTCAGAGAAAAGGTCAAAAGGACTGTACCCACTACAGAGGCCACTGTGAGGATCCACACATGCTAACACACAGAGAGGAAACAGTGTAAGGCCTAACTGTCAGTGCCATGCCAGGTTAGCTGTAACAAACCCATCTTAAAAACATGAACCACCACCTTAAACTAACACCACGAAACACAATGAGAGTTCACTTTGTCCAATAATAGTAATAAACAGCATAAATAGATATCGTAAATAAATGATAATGAAAACACAAGCCACGCACCTCCAGTAAGTATCTTAGCGAATATGGCAGAAGGTTCCGCAAGGTGAGAGGAGGGTGGAGATGGATGACGTAGGCCGGGTCCCAGTCTTCCCCGTGGGCACTGATGTAGCTCAGCTCATCAGGCCGGGCGACGGTGTTCACGATGAGCGGCAGGAAGTTGACCTCTGCCGAGGGGCACTGCAGCATGCACCTGACCTCCCTGCTGCGGTGCAGCTCTTCCTTCCAGGAAATGTACGTGGTGGACTGCGAGTACTGCTGCTCTAAGCTGCCAGCCGGCTGAACGTACAACTGGCACCTACAGAGGTTTTGACGGAAGGTACGGAAAAGAACCTCAGGTCCTTTGCAATGACTCCGAAAGGTGGCTACTGATATTCTTACAAATGCAGGCACCACTGCTAAGAAAGTCCAGAATGTGCCCAAAACGACAGCTGCCCTTCAGAGGAAGGACAACTTGAAATATTTTCATTTTGACTATAAGGGCAAGCTAATAAAATATATAACTTAGAAAATTACAAAGTATCAAAAATCAGATCAAGAGTTTATACTATAAATTCAAAAGTAACATATGTATTTCTGATCAAAAGAATAAACTCATTTGTATTGTAAAAATGGCTGTTGTATGGCTAGGACACCACTCTCCCTAAAATAGAGATCCAATCATAAAACTAAGAATACATGGTTTACTTTCTTTTATAACATTTGTTTATTTATATAATTAACAACCCACATTAGCTGTACAAATTAACAGGCTTCACTACGATATTTCTACATTCCCTATGCTAACTGTGCACATTCACCCTTCCAAGACCCTCACAGTCTTCGGCAGTGCTGCCCATCCATCCCAGCTCTGCTGACCACCATCCCATTTGGAAGCTAGTACAGTACAGACAGGCGCACCTATAGGAATCCAAAGGGACGTGGAACTCTTCCTCAGGTCTGGCTATTCCAATACGCTCCAACAGCTTAACATTCTTGACAAATTTGTAGATGATAAATGCTATTGAAAAGTGGTTTTTAATCTGTTGGAAAGGATATATAAATGTTTTTTAATGACATGTAATTTTTTTTTTTTTAAAAAAAGCATTAGCAGCACACACATTTATTTTAGATCTAAAAAGGTTCAACTTAATATTGGAAGGTGCTCCCATTGGCTAACAACAATATTTAAGTATCTAAGTGTTACATATTAACACTAAACTTAATGTTTAAAGTGTTTAAACATTAAGTGTTTAAACTTAATGTTTAAACTTAAATGTTTAAACTTAATGTTTAGTTTAAAGTGACAGTTCCAAGTTGGCACTGCCACGTCAGCTACGTATCAAGTGGATATGTTGTTAGTCTATGCTGCCCTTAAGGATGCACCACTCCTGAAGATTTCAGCCATGTTTTCTCTTCACAACCTCCCATGAACACACATGTGACAAAGAAATGAGCAAAGCCGTGGAGCTCTTTTCCTGACTGCACTGTGCTGTGTGCTGCGGACAACAGCAACCTAAGAAGTAACAGGATCCAAAATGCAGATGAGTTCCCATCCATCTCGTGGTCAGGTGGGGAGAAATGTTCTTCACACTGACACACACCGAATGAAGCCTGTAGCCAATGCGGCAAAGACTATGAGGGTTGGTACAACCATAAAGTAGAAAGGAGAATGTTCACATACATTAAAATGTTTTGTTTTGTTTTTTGTTTATTTGTTTGTTTGTTTGTTTTATGTGAGGGTAGGTCATTGCAAACACCTCCCACACACTGAAAAACACAGTCTCGAGCAATGACATTCTAAGAGAACTAGAGGCTATCCTACTTGATAATCAACCATAATTACAGTATCTCAGTTCAAAATCCCTACAGGAACAGAACAATGTCTAGATGTTTAAGTGTTCCAAATCTCTAAAGGAACTTAGTGAGTGCTTACGGTTTACGAGCAGTAAAACTGGACTCAAAAAACAAATAAATGAAACTGCTTTTCAAGTCATTTAGAATAAACCATGTTAAGAGAGCAGGATAGTGGCAGAGGCTGCTTCACTTTGTCATTTATTTCTTAATAATCGGAGGTGCTCGGCAAACTCAGCTAAACATTTGAACTCTGCCTGGCACACCCAGAGGGACACATGCTCCCTTACAGCATTACCTGCAGAGGCGAGCGGAGAGTGACCACCTTGTTCCCTTCTGTTGCGTCAATCTGCACCAACACGGAGTCAGAACGGCTGGCACTGGGATTCCGTACGTTATACAACCGCCGGCCAGGCCTGGCAACAGGGACACTGCCCACTTCTGTATAACCGTGTGGCACTAAAGCAGAGTGCAGGGAAGAGAATTACAAGTATTTACTGTTTAATAAATATAATGTCTCTATAATGGTATCATTATCATGAATATCTCAGACATCTCACTATGGCCACCTTTCTCCCTTAATTGAATGGTTGTTCTTTTTGAAACATGCCACTGATTATTTAGGGAATAGTAAGTAATAATCAGGCTTCATAAGACATTTATTAATTAAGGTCAATCTTATGTTTAGAAGAAACCATGTGGTGAATTATCAACTATTTATAGCAACCCCTAACAAATGTCTCCCAGGATATCTTCAGCAAAATAGTACTGGATGATTTATCAAAAATAAAGCTGGCACCATTCCCACAATTGCTCCGAAGATCCAAAAAGCGTGGCATACCAAAGGTCAGTGTAAAGAAGGTACTCTCCTGCCGGCTCAGAACCGTCAGCTTTCCTTGACGGGAGGGTTCCAGGCTGGCATATTCCAGCTCCAAATGCTGCCCGGCAGCCACGTCATAAACGTCGCTCTTCTCGGGGGAACCCATTACCCTGAGGTTGCGATTGGGCTGCACCTTCATGGGAATACCCAGGGCGTTTCTCACTGTAAAAGGAGCCCTGTCTTTCAGAGAGTAGTCAAAAGTAGAAGCCGCTCCCTCCGAGAAACCCTGCAAGGGAACACAGCACAGTGCAACCTCAGCAATGTATTTCTTACAAGCACTTTACCACAGCTGCATGCTTTCTGAAATTTATTTTGATGACAAAAAAAAAACAAAAACAAAAACCCATACACATTTCCTTTTTTAAATCCTACATGAGATGTTTCAAATTAGAATCACACATACTTTTGCTAAATTGTTGAAAACATTGAGACAACTTTTAGATATTGTGATATTCATTGTAGCTCCTGAAGAAATATGAATTGCCATTTGTGGCTCAGGAATAAAGTCATCTCCTGGTATCAAACTTTTATCCTGGATTGGGTTCTTCTTCACCTAGGAAGATAAAGAGCATACAGAATGTTAGTTACCAGCCAACTCCTAAAAGCTCAACATTGAGGGATTCAGCTGAACTGGCTCTTTTACACTATAGGTCCTTAAAGCTCTCATTTTCAACCATATCCCTGTGATTCAGCAAGAAATGGCAGCCGTCTCTCTGCACATAGGCCATGGAAAGGAAATGTTCAACATGCTGCCAAGGAAGTGTGAGGAGGCAGCTGCACCATGGGACTCCTTGCCAGGGCAAGCTAGCTCCTAGCACGCCTCCTAGCATGGGTCTGTGTTAGTCAGCAATCGAAGGAGACTCCAAAGGCTAGAAGAGTCCTCTGGAGACAAGAGGATTTTTCCTACTACTTTTTTGGTAAATAACATGGTAAGCTTTTGGGTTAAATTTACTGCAAATAACATTCACATTTTCATTCCAATAGCACTTCAAAACCTTTGTTACATATTCTTTTTCAGTCTCGTTACGCCAGAGAGAGGCAGACTATTGATACCATCTCTACTTTAGTCAGGAGGAACTGGGATCCAAGGTAAGTGAGTTATCATCTTTAAAAAAGAATTTGCTACGGAAGTTTCTATGTGTGACTACTCCATCAGTGACCACAGTGAGGCAAGTGACGATGGTCTGTTAACAGCACACATCTCACAGTTCTGTGTCCCCCGGGGGAGGGGAGAAAACATGCCTTGATAGCAAGAATTCTGAAATACTAAGAAATATCAACATCAGAAAATTCATCATAATACTAATTCTCAATTGGGGGGGCTCGCCCCTAAAAATCACTTATTAATTCAAAAGGTTCTATTAGTGAGTTTTATTTACCAATATGTACTATATTAGGAATGAAAAAAGAGAAAAAAATAATATTTAAAAATAAAAATTATGTGTTAACATTTTAATGGAAAACTATCTTTAAAATATAAATATCAAGAAAGTTTTTTGACAAGTATCTTGAATGCCTGAAGAAAGCAGATGAATCCTCAATTCTTTCAGCTGTATTCAGTCTCTCAAAAACCCAACTGTACATTCATGAGAAAATAGGAATTGTGATGTTTCCTTATCACTGTGAAAGGAGTTACGGCCTCACGTACTTACAGGGGATCCATGACCCTAGACCAAGTCTTGAAAATAACTGAACTGAAAAACTAGTCAGGACAACTCTCAGCATGACACCATGCAGAGCACTGGCTTTCTTACATTAAGCTTTAAGCTCCATGGTTTTTTCCCCTCCACTCTTTCAATCAGTGGCTCCCACACAGCATGGGTTTCATTATAATAGTGAACCTGAAAAGGTGAAGAATTTCAATTACTTGGTTGTTCAACATTAATCATATAATTATATAATCAGTATCTAATTATATATAAAAGCACATTAAGCTACTGCTTGATCTCAAAAGCCATTTGAAAACCCACCTAAAGAAACCCGCACAAAACACAGTATCGTTCCCCCTTCCTTTTGCTCTACTGTTATAAATTACATAGCAAGAGACTCCTTAGGAATAATTATCACATGTAATCCTACACCAGCACATTGAACACTAGCGTGTGCTATCTGTTCACAGGAGACTTGCTACAGCCGTGCATCTCCGGCCATGGTACCTCCCATCTGTGCTCTAGAGATGGTGATATGATCATACCTCCAGAGTCATGTCAGCAGCGGCAGCCATTAGAGAAGTCCAGTTTTTAATATTTCCAGAGAACTTGGACTCTGCCAACAACAAGGGCACAGTGCGATGACCAAGGCCACATTCTAAGGTGACTTGAACGGACTCCACAGCAACCACACAATTTTCCTCTATCGGCGGATGCTCAAAGTCTCTGAAATTTTCTGTTACTTCTGTTGCCATGTCAACACCAAGAAACCAAGAGTTATAATCAGTGATGGGTTTGACAGCCCAGAGATTGTCCATCTCCTTAGCTGTGTCTTTCGATTCATCTTCTTTGGTCTTTGGAGCCATAGCAGCCATGATTGTCATCACAGTATTAAGGATTATAGGCGAAATCTTTAAAAAGGAGAGCAGAAAAAATGTTTACACTAGATTCCTTCCCAAACGAGAATTAAAACACATGATTTAAAAGTTAAAAAATTAAGTAACTTACATTTAAGTACATTAAATTCTGGACAAAGGAAAATAAGAAAATAGGAATTCAACAAACTACATAAGGATTTCAGCTTAGTTGTCTGGAATCAAGTAGTTCATGTTATGTCATCAGTCAAAATCCCAAGGAGAAACTGATAATTCAGAATCAGATGATGTCACATGAACAAGCAACAACAAAATATACATATACAGCCAGCTTTTTCACTGTATTCCTAGTTAATGTCACTACTCAAGGTCAGAAGCAGGAGGCTGAGATGGAAACCACTTCATTGCACCCCAAGTTCTAGAATTTACACCTACTCTTCTCTGGAAAATGCCCTGGGTCACTCTCACTCCTTTATCTCTGCCTCAGTACTACACAAACAACACCTTTAATCCAGGCAGGGCCCTTAGCCCACCCACCAAAATGACAGCAGCACAACTGTTTTTAAAGCCAAACCTAGGCAACTCATTGCCTAGTTAAAATCCCCAGCAACCTCCCAGCTTTCTCGAACTAAACTCAAACTCTCCTTGGCTAGGTGCCAAAAGCTCTTTGTGAGCCACAACCTGTTCAGCTGGCTAGCCAGAGTTTAAAATGCATCAGGGTAAATAGATTCCTCTACTGTTTATTTCTCACAACCTCCACTTCCTGCTAGACATCACCAAACGGAGATTCCAGCACACACTGCTTGTTGACCTACCATCAACTGAGGCCTTGGTTTTCCCTTGTCTTATGACTATCACCTGCAGCTTAATGGATGCTCAGACTTCCACTCTGCCACACCATCTGTCCAGGCTCAGGGGCCCGCCTTCTAAGTTCTTAACTTCAACTTCTTCACACTGTGCCTCTGCACATACTGCCAGTTCTAAATAAATAACCTTTTTCTCCTCTTCACTAATCATCCATCTATCAAGTCTGGAAACTCAACTCAAGCTTTCAGACAGCTTTTCTTAGGTTTGCTCTAGCTTAGATTTAACGCTCTTTGCTTTTCTCCCAACAGCACCTTGTATGTGCTGCCTACATTGATTTCCTTCTTCTTCCCCCGTGTCATTAACTCTCTCCTATGCAAGAACCATAGATACCCAATGCCCACAAAGGACCTTAACACACAGTAAAGGTGAAAATATTTGTAGAGTGTGGTAGCAAACAGCTTTAATTCTAGTACTAGGGAGGCAGAGGCAGGGGGATCTCTATGAGTTAAGAGCCATCTAGGGCTACAAAGTAAGACCCTGACTCAAAAGTAAAATGTTAAAATGTTTATTGAATAAATATACATACAAACATGAAATATATTAACCCAAAAGTTAATCTAGTGTCTTAGAAAAAATACTATTAATTCAAAGAGGTTTTCCTCCATGTAGCATTCCATGTATTTGAACTGGTAAATTCAATAGTCAGCAAAACACAATTTAAGGCAATTTATTAAAATCCAGTATTTTTTAAATTCTGAAAAATGTACTTTCATTTACACAATACTGCAGATTAAATCAATTTAAGCCTCATTTCAATCATTGTCACTGACCTATGAAGCAAAGCTCCTATCATGGCAGGACCAGGGAGCCTGCTGAACAGCCAATGCAGCCAACCAACAGGCTACAGGTTAAATAAGAGACAGTGTTTCAAAAAAATAAAGAGAAAGAAATCAAAGGCCAACCTCTGCCTCACCATGCACACAACACTCACAGAGTAATACATAAATATGGAAAAACAGAATCTGAATGCTAGTAGAAAATACTGGAGGTTTTTTTCTTTCAGTACTTTACAAAAGGGTTTAAAACACAATAAACCCTAATCATTCATCTCAAGTATATACCTGCCACCTGCATATCTGTAAGCCAAACAGAATATTTAACCACACAGTTATTAGACTGAATCAAATTAAATAGCAAACGAAAGCCAAATAACTACAAACAATCTCAACTTCATCTCACTATTCTCATTCCTTTCCTTTCCCACCCAGCTCTGTTCTCCCCTCCTATATAACACCCCCACACACACACATACACGCAATAGAATAGAAAAAAAGAAACTCTCATCATGTGTACAGATAGAAGGTATTACTATAGGCAGGTGAGATAGCTCAGTGGATAAAGTCTTGTCGTGCAAGTCTGTCAACCCGAGTTCAATCCCTGGGAAACACAGCAGAAAGAAAGAACTGACTCCACAGAGTTATCCCTTCAACTCCACATGGTGCCACGGAATATGTACACACACATATGCACACATGCACACTCTCGTGTGCGCGGACACACAGCAGTAAAAACAAAAATATTCATGAAATTATTTCAGAAAGTGTTCTTTTCAAAGCAACACAAATAAACATGTGTATGAAAGAAAAAAAAAGTTTGAATCACAGAGCTATTCCAATTACCAAGAAAGTGCCCAGGAATAATGCAAGGGTTGTGAGACGCCAAGACACTGTTGCAAAGCACTGAAAATATACAATACTGCATAAACTTTAGCCAAAGAATGTGTATGAGGCACCAACCTTAATTACAAATTCTTTAACCATAATATTAATGTTTTGTTTTCCTGAAGACCACGTACACTTTTCCATAAATAAGGAGCAGGGCTGCAACACCTAGAAACAGAAAAATGAAGGTCACATTCTCCCAGTAACAGATCCATTATGTGCCGCACACTTACAGACCCAGACTAGCTTTACTACAGGCAGAGGCACATCCACTGAGGCTCTCGGCAAAGCTCACGACAGTGCTGGGTGCTTCAAGGACTTTAAGCAGTGCTAAGAAAGGTTACCACTCCAAAAAGAAGGACTGAGGATGCAGATTAACTATCCCAAAGCAGTTCCTGCTTGTTAAAACATCAGCTAAAACAGTGTTCTCAACCTTCCTAATAATGTTCCCTTTAATATTGTTCTTCATGGTGTAGTGAGCTCCAACCATACAATTATTTTCCTTGCTACTTCACAACTGTAATTTCGCTACTGTTCTGAATTGTGATGTAAATATCTGATATGCAGGATATCTGATATAAGACCCCCACAGGGTTGAGAACTATTACTCTAAAGGAAGACCTGCAGAAAATGTACCTTTGAGATAACTATAAACAGGAGCTAACACCAAGGGTATGGCTAGGATATGACCATTCATGGAGACTAACAGACTTGTGAACACCACAGATGGGTCCTTCTGAGAACAAACCTCATCATCAGTCTTAATGAGTACTGAACTATGAAGCCTGGAATCTTACATATATCATTAAAAATATGAAGTAACTTCACCTCATAATAGGTGACAGTGGTGTAACTTTGGCAGTGTTTAATTAGAACCTGTCTTCAATGGCGTGATGGCTATCCGTTCTCTATGGCATGTAAACAATGACTTATCAAAGAATAATTCATGATCAAGTACAGAAGCTTAGGCTTCACTCCCTGATGCACAGGACATAGCTCAAAAATTCCTCAAATTTAAATCGGTGCTGCACGTGAGTCAAGCAATATAAGATTTTCTTCCCATAAACTTACAGCTATGACACTAAAACTTAATTGGTATAACTAAGGTAATTAAAATTACAAATTTCAGTAATAATGCAAAGCACCACTTAAATTAACTTTTAAAAACAGAATACAACTGTCTCTTTTGGTCATATGACTCCAACTGAATTTTTTTATATCAAGTTTGGTTTTTTATTTACTCATTGGTTTTACTCCAAAGACCAAATAAAAAGCTGGGGAAAACAACCACACTGGGTCCTGATAAAATTCAAAATCTATCCAGAAGAAATGTAACAATACAAAGAGTTCTCCTGGAGGCAGCCCCACTTCTGTCACGAGGACCATGGCTAAGCTTCCTAACATCGCAGAAAGCTGAGTCTGCAGCGTCCAGCAGAGCTCTCCGCTGGCAGAGCCTAGGATTCCACCCTCTCACTAGCTTCACCGCCACTGTCCACAGTCTTTCTCACCGTAGTGATGCTCTTCCCTCTCCTTTCTCTCAGGAAGGGGCAGGCGAGCACTTTCAGGTCTCTCACAGAGGCTTCCATCATCTGCTCCAGTTTGGACGTTGAGAGGGAGAGGTTACACTGGAATGAGGCGGTCAGAGCAGGCGCGTCAGCCTTTGTCAGGTTGGCAACAAATACCACTTCTGGGTCTGTGATCATGGCCTTCAAAGTCATGTTTGGCCTCACAGAATCATCTGAAGAAACAGCAGGGAAGAAAAATTTTAATATATATCTTCATAATGGGTCATTTATCCATTGCTGATTCTGCACAAATAGAGAGAGAGAGAAAGAGACAGACAGACAGACAGGTAGGTAGGTAAGTAGATAAATAAATAAAACAGAAATCTGGCCAAAGATGGTCACTCCTACTTGGATCTTTTAGAAGTGACACGTGTGGAAGTTTCTTGGGAGGCAGTTCAGGAGAGTGCACAGACAAGCACACGATGTGTGGAGTAACGCTGCAGGGCTCAGAACAGAAAACAAGAGCGAGCTGCCAGGAAAAGCGCCTCTGGTGACGAAGACTAACCTCAGTCACCAGTTTACTTCAGTTTCACCCAAAAGACCACGCCCCGTGCCATATGGCCTACAGTACAAACTTACAGAAGTAAGCCCAGCAGTATCGGGTATGACCCCTATAAAAAATACCACAGCAAATGGCAAAATAATATTCCAGTCTTGCCAATACACGCTCAGCTTGCAACTTTGCCGTGTTTTACAGTAAAGGAAACAAAAACAAAATACTTGACCTTAAAATAATTTAAAGTTGAACGCAGAAAATCACCAATCTATTTCAAAAAGCTGAAATATAAAAACTAGCAACTTGGAGATGGCTTCACCGTTCCCATACTCCAGGCATTCACAGGCTTGCTCAGAGTCTGCGGAACCACAGGGTTTTCTGGGTCAGGCACGCCTTGTCCTTCCCTGTCTCCTCCTCCTCCTTCTAGCCTGTCTATTGCCCATATGCACTAGAATTCTTCCACGTACTTTGTTTGATTAGATGATTCTTGTTTATAAGGCAGGTAGTCTACCACTGACTGGCTGATTCCCTCTGTTTCTGGATGAAGAAAACTGAATGGAGCCAGAGCAGTTTCCACCCTACAGCAGAACACGTCTATCACACCTTGCTTAAAAACCTTTACTTCCTCACATTCTCCGCCTCTGTGTCCTCCTGTTTCTAATTATTGTTGAAATACAGACATCTTCGCGGGGCCGGAGAGATGGCTCAGAGGTTAAGACCACTGGCTGCTCTTCCAGAGGTCCTGAGTTCAATTCTCAGCAACCACATGGTGGCTCGCAGCCATCTATGATGAGATCTGATGCCCTGTTCTGGCCTGCAGGCATACATGCAGGCAAAATACTGCATAAATAATAAATATATCTTTAAAAAATTTACAAGCATCTTCATTTAGGACTGACAGGTAAGTTCTCCTAACCTTTCTCCATCTTGACTCTTCCCATCGCAGTCTGTCTTGATGGAATCTGTATTTCTTTTGCTTTGTTTTCTGGACTCTGAGGCATGGCTTTAATGAAGAAATCAGCCACGGTCATCAGAAACTCCACACTGGCACACACATACAGCTTGTCGAGAATGGCATCAATCTGGCTTCCATTTTTATCTTGTCTATAACTTATATCAATCATAGAACTGTTGCTGTCTTGGTCATCCTTTTTGTCAATCATCCTGAAGAAAAAACATGCCATTCATTATTTTACCCCTTTTTCTCTCCTACTAAGATAACAAAGGAATGAAAATGTTCCCCTGCATTTTAATCATCTTTCTTTCACCTTTCAGTTTCTAATCTGAATAGAAAATACAACAGTGTTAATTAGAACCTAATCACCCAATTAGTAACCAAAGCATGGCTGCCTAATCTCCAAAGAAAGATTCATGTGATTAGGCAATTATGGGATATTCTGTAATTATAATGCAATTCCAGAGAAACTGATGACTACTGAAAATGACCTTAGACAATTAGCAATGCATGATTGCAGTCCCTCACAATATAACACAACCTCTTTATTCTACTAAATAAAACCTCCCTGGAAGATTTTGTCTATATAATTTGATTACCCTATAGAATTTATTCACATAGCACTCAAAGCAACCCAAATCGACAAGTGTTTATTAGTATCTATAGTGATGGCTCCTATACAGCCTCACAAGTGCTGGTGATTTATCAATAATCAATCAAGTAATCAATCTATCTATCAATCAATCAAACACAATTGCCTAAAGCACTGTGAACAGCTTCCCTGGCCATGAAATTTGTAACCAGAAAACCTGGTTGAGGGGCTGGAGAGATGGCTCAGTGGTTAAGAGCACTGTCTGCTCTTCCGAAGGGCCTGGGTTCAATTCCCAGAACCCACATGGCAGTTCACAACCGTCTGGAATGCCGATTCTAACAGATCTGACACCTTCACACTAATGCACGTAAAATAAAATTAAATAAATTATTAAAAAAAAAAAAAAAGAAAACCTGGTTGCGAGATAGCAGCCTTCCTTATTTGCTCATTTCTCTGAAAAATACAGGTTTCAGCAGAATCCAAAAAATAGTCACTGCTGTACAAGTTTAAAGAGCAACATAGTCGTTCACACACAAAATAAGTACAAAATACGACACATTTCATAACTTGAGAAATAATACCTTTTAATAAAAAGTAATGAAAAATACCATTTAAGTTACATAGTTCCATATTTCATACCTGACTGATACAAGTTAATCTTTTAAAATTAGTTGATAACGTGATGATGCCACAGAATATATTCCTACTAAAAAATGAAGGAAATTCTGCAGAATTGTTTTGAAAGACAAAGTAAACAAGAAAAAAAAAAGGATGCACAAATTTAAGGATTCTATAACAATGGTAACAATGATTAATAATAATAATAATTCTGCCTACTGGCAATAATCTGGAAAAGTATGTTCCAAATCTATGTTAATTTAACCATTAAAACTCTTGTCTCCTTTAGTTCTCATTGTTAAGACAGCACTTTGTTTTATTAATAAATTCCCCTTTCATTTACAGTTTGAAGCGGAGTAATTAGAGAGTACCATTTTGCCTTCCTGCAACTCACTTCTGAAAATGTGAGCACAGGATAGGCTCTCTGAGGACCTCACACTTCACAGTGGCAGGCCAGCATCCACCTGAAACCCTGAGCAGCAAGCTCTGATCTCACAAACCTGGATGTTGCTCTCTCAATTCCTTCTCGGAGATCATCAAGAGTGCACATTTTAAGTTTAAGGCTGACATTCATAGACCCATCCTTGAACATCTTCCCTGTAGAAGCCATCAGGTGGAGTCTGAGCTCACCAAGACGGAAGCTGTCATTATGAAAGGAAAGTCTGGACTCCTGTAGTACATTTTTCAAGCAAAGGAATACATGATCTTTAAACATTACACAAGTTCATTTACACACATTCCTTAATTCAAAGCTTAAAAGCAAAAAAGTTTCTCAGAGCTGAACCACATATATGAAACTGAGTACTGTGAACACAGAGGAGTACATGAGTGCACTCACGCATCCGTGTGTACCCTGGGCATACTGGCCAACATGTTAGATGATCCAGAATGCTTTTAACTTATAAACACAGATGTAATGTACAAACTTGTGTACCTATCAACAGAAATGACCTGTTGCACAGCTGTAATACAGAGACATTTCCAATCAATCCCTGATACAGATGCTCTGGAGTGGGTGGTTTTTAGAAAAAGGCTTAGGTATTCCACGTTTCTAAGTAAAATGAGAAGCTCCAAGTGGCTGCATGAGACTCACTAAGTATACAAACTGTACACTGCCTAAACACAGGTGAAGGAAGACACGGCACACTGCAAGTGTGCCTAAAAAAAAGTCTCGAATAAAGCAAGTGAGGTATGACAGGGAAAGGGGGTTATTCACAAAAAGAAAAGTGACAGAGTCTAAATGAGTATGGTTACAAAAGGAAGCCAAAAATGGCTGTAGCATTTTAAAGCTAGGGAGGAAAAAGAATTGTCCTTAAGTGAAATGAAGAGTATACATACGTAACTTTCACTTTCATTAAAGGCATTTGCTAAGGCTTGCATGAACATCAAAGACTAGGAATTTGGGCAGTTCAGTGAGTAACTGATAGATATTATCACAAAGCTCAACTGTAAAAATGTTTGACTATTGTACAACTTCTGGAAACTATAAAGTGCAAATTAACATATGAAATGCACATGAACCCGGACATGAAATCTATAATACATATAGACTGTGGGTATTTATATGAAATGTTATAGTCATTGACATATGAAATTGCTAATTTATAAAATAAAAATATTTATTACAAGATACTATGCAATGCAAATGGTTTCTAAAGTACTTTTGATCTATTATATAAATGCTTAGCACTGACTGAGAGGTCATGGCATGGAAAGGCTTCAAAGACAGTACTCAATTATTCTTCCTAAATAGTGATGACTACCAGTGCATGAAATTAAACACATGGCCAGTCGGTCATATGTCAAATTCCTCTATTGGTGATGGATAAAATGCATTTGGGGACCGTGTTACTAAAAAGAGGGAAACCCTAAATACCTTTTTTTTAGCCTGGCAAGATTTAAACATAGGAGCCTATGGAACCTTGATCCTCTCTGAGATCAAATACTGATTTGTAGATGCATGGAACTGTATTAATAGTTACAACAAAAAATGCCAACATTCAAAAGCTGAATACTCTCAAGATCGAAGGGTTTACCTCTGACAACAAAAATGTCCTATTTACCTGGCAGTTATCATTGTTGTACAGGATGATGGAGAGAGAGTCAAAGTGGAAGTCAAACTGAAGAGTGATAATCTGGTCCATGGGGGACTTCGGGTCTGTCAAATCTTGTTCTGATGAGTAAGAAAATCACAGAGCTCTTAGGTAGATAAGCTATCTTAAACATTTTAATGAAGGAATGATAAAGTGTTACTGTAAATTTGTATCAGACCTTCCACCATATTTAAATAACTCACCAGGCAAGTAATAAAAATGGCAATGATTGATCATTACATATTTAGTAAAGGGAAAAATGGCAGAGGTAGATTACAGGAAAAAAGATCTTATAAATAATATCAGGAAAACTTTTGCAAAGTCCCTTCAAAGCAAGGTTAGTTCCTGCAGTTTGTAATCACCACAGCATGTTTTTACTAACTGGCTCGGTCATCCTCAGACATTATGAAACTGAACATACAGTGAAGCCAAACACTGCCTACACTAGGCAGCTGGCAAAGGCCTTTTGTGGACCAAGGACACTTTCCACAGTCTCTAATGCATCTTAGGAGAGATGGCTCGCTCCCTAGAAGAACTGAGTGCATTGCTATGGGGAAGCCATTGGAATACTGACACTCCAGAAGCAATTTCATTTTCCTTCCCATCTTTAGACACATAGAACACATCCTGTCTCAGTGTTCTGATAAAGCAATTCTGTGATCCTTTTGGAAACTCAGGGTCATTCTTTAGGAAAGTCACCAAAACTTACTAGAAAAGCAAGGCTTTGCCAGGCTGGGGGAAAAAAAAAAAAAAAAAACCTGGAGTTTTTGCTCCATGTTTTCAGAAAAGAATTTCTGTCCCAACACTTATTCTATTTTCAGTTTGCATATGAACACATAAAATTTCCCATGTGTCATATTAATCATAAAACAAGAACTAGAAACACAAATTTGATCATAGCTAAACGCACCAAGACCATTAATCAACAAAGTTCATTTGTTTGCACATCGTCCTGTCTAATTTCCACAACAGCCTACTTATCTAGCACTTGTCTACATTCAATGCAACAGTGGGAGCATCTGTCTAAATCAGAAACCTCTTTCACAGATCCCAAAACATGCCGGGCCTAACTACAGAAGCAATGTTGGCCCCATAATAAGAATTCCTAATGGCAGCTTCACCACTTAACTTGATGCTGAGTGTTATAAAAGCACATGGTGCAGTCTGGGGGTGTTCATGGGAGCAAAAGGTCCTTTACCTTGCTTTAGTTGTGGAACTATCACCTACTGACTGTCTCTTAAAAATATCTGTTATTGACATCAATGACTTTAAAATGCAAAGCTGGGCAAGGCGGGCACACCTGTAACTCCAGCACCCAAGGACTGAATCAGCAGAGCCATCACAGGTATGAGGCCAGCTTGGTCTACACAATGAGCGTGTTCCTCAAAAAACAATTAGAAAAGGAAAAAAAACTGAAATGATATTCCATGTACAATTAAAATGGTCAAATATAAAAGGCCATCCATGGTATTCTTAAATCATTTGATTTTAAGAATCTAGAAATTTCCTGACACATTTCATAGTATCACTCTCCACTAAACCAGATATAAAGCTATTACTGTAAGATAGCACTTTCCTTCCTCATGATTTAGTCAACATGTCAAGATCCTTTCCTCTTGAATCCGTCTGGCATCTTACTGCATTACCTGCCTGCTTTAAGCTTTCTCTCAAGGTGGACCACCCCGGTGCCAGGTGAATTCAACAATTTTAATTCCACAAGCCAAGGGCAAAGAAGCACTGTGCAGGCAAGAACTGACCCTCCCCTTGTCACAGACAACGCATACATCCTCCACTGGGAGCTTCGGTAGGCCGCCCAGCTCCATCAGACCTTTCAGAGTAAACACTAAGAACAGTGGATCCTTTCTCAGCACGTTGTGCTGGAGTGCTAACAGAACACCGTATGATGCTGATCATTTTTCAATACCAACACACAAATGAATCAGCCTTTACCTTTAAAATGGTCAGGCCCACTCCGAGTATCTCTCTTCACTCTTGCAGCCTCCTGGGCAGACTGGGTAGAACTTGGCTGTGAAGAAACTTCCCCAAGGTTTTCCAGCAAAATATTCATTAAAACTGTCAAGTCATCTTGACTGAGAGCAACCTGAAAACCACCAATAATGTGTTTATGTAATGTAAGAAAAAAATAGAATATTATGCCTTTATAGCTTCATGAATGAATGATTCATCTGTTTTACAGAGAACAGCATCAACAGCACGGGTAGAGACACATGCCTTCAGCGCAGGCAGATCCTTTGGATGTCAATGCCCTTCCTGACTGACCTGGGACTATACCTCCCTCTCCTAGACCTCACTCAAGCCTCCACTCTGCCCTCTCTCATTTCATCCAGCACCAGCTCCTTTGTATCAGTTTGCTTCCCTCCAAGCTCAGTTTGATGCCTGTGTTCAGTTTCTGGTGTCTACCAGAACTGAGATATTCTCTTGTTCTATAGCTCTGTTCTTAGTACAGACACAGCTGGAGACACACAAAACAGCTGTTCAGCTTAACAAAAAACAGCACCTCTTATAATAACAGGCAACCTAATGACCTAGTACTTTCTAAAGCCATCGTGCACCAGGAAAGCAGCCTCTCCTGTTTTAGCTTTAAAAGGGCATGTGAGATTAAAAAGAAAGAACACCCCTCTCTCCCTCTTCCCCCCATCCCCTTCCCCTAGTCCACTGAAAGGGAGAGTTCTCCACCATTGCCATCTGCCCATAGTTTAAGTCTAATCAGGATTGCCTGGATCCTCTTCCTCTGTGGCCCGGGAAGGCCACATCACCAGGGGCGAGTGATCAAAGAGTTCACAAGAGAGGCAGCCCCTGCTCCCCTCACTCAGAGATCCACATGGAGACTGAGCTGTCAGTCGGCCACAGAGGGCCTAGGTCCTCTCCATGCATGATCCCCAGCTGGTGCCTCAGTCTCTGCAGGACCCCTGGGCTCAGATCCTTTAGCTTTATTGGTCTCCTTATGGGGCTCCTGTCCCCTCCATGTCCCTCTAACCCTACCCCCTCTTCTTCCAAAAGAGTCCCTGTACTCCGCCCAAAGTTTGGCCTTGAGTCTCAGCATCTGCTTGGATCCCCTGTTGGGTGGATCCTTTCAGAGCATCCTCTATAGGAGGTCCCCATCCTGTTTCCTCTCTCCCACCGCTTCTGGTGTCTATCCTGTTTGCCATTCTGAATGAGATTTAAGTATATTCCCTAGGGTCCTCCTTAGTTAATATTTAGCTTCTTTAGGTCTATAGATGGCTATCCTCTACTGGGGGAAGTGGGGAGTTTAGAGAGGGAGCATCAATCAGGATATATAATAAATAAATTGTGGAAAAATGAAAACAGGCTAAATGTTCATCAGCAAGGAAAAGTTTGAATAAATGATAATGTAACATGGAAAACAAGAAAAAAGAAACCACTCACCACAGTTTCCTGCAACACAAACCACTCACAGTGTTTCCTGCAGCAGGCTCATGTGCTGCATCCTAACAGAAAACTACAGCAGAATTAGAAAGCCCGGAAGTCTTACTTGTTACAGACTCTTGAGGAAAGATTTGCAAGAAATCCTTGACATTACGTGCACAACTGAAAATCAGTTAGTGTCTGGCTTCCTGGCTGTAAGATCACTCAAAGGAGGTGTTAAAAACTCCGAATGGTGATATTTTCACAATGTGAACCAAGTTTTCTTTCCTACATTTCTGCCATTAAGTGAAACAAATGTCCTGGGGTAAGCCAGAGGTAGCTTGAGAAAAATAACAATTGTCACTTCAACGGGTAGGAAGAGGAAAACGCTGCTGCTTAGACACTGGAGCATTGAAAGACCCCTGACAGGAGTGACAGTGTTTTCTGCTGAAGGCCCTTTAGAAATATTAGTTTGGAAACTGCTGTATGGAAAACTAAAAAGCATTGTAACTACTATGGACTCCATTTCATTGCCTGAAAGACAGAGAAAATATCTGTCTCTTAAGGCAGCCATATATTATTTCTGTATCATTGCCTTCACTTTATGACTGAAGGTCAAAGTTAAGCCAACATATTGAAGTATTAGGGGTTAAGGGTGGAAGAAAATTTCTATCAAACTTTTAATAAAAGTATCACTTGAACATCATAAAAAAAAAGGAACAAAAAGCTCTTGAGACAGATCTGTAGCAGCTCTATGCCTTTAAGCTGTGAGTGAGCCAAGTTTCTCAGCGTCTGTAATGTGAATCTTTTTTATCTTTAGGAGATGAATAATAGCATGTTCCTAGTGGAGAGCTAAACAACATGAAGCAGCCAGACTGAAGGAAAGTGCCACAGGCTATTAAGATCCATTAACTCAGGCTTTGCTCTGATGCTTCTCACCCTTCTCCTTATGTAACCTTCCTTCCCCACAGCACACACAGTGGTCCTCAAAGATAATATAAGCACTCGGACAGAAGCTGCTTTAAGCATTTGAATGTAAATTCACACAAAACACACACATGGACCTGTTAAAGCTGGCCTTTGACAATGACCCCCGGGTTTGTAAGAACTGTCAAAGTGATCTACTAGAAACACATTTCTGGGGTCATCTACTGATACCCTTCCTAGTTTACCCCTTGATAGACTCTCTGCCACTGAAAACACTGCTGCTTCCCAAATAAATACACATGCCTGCTCAAATAACGATTTCTAAATTTAAAAAAGGGTCCCTACACATTGCAATACTAGTCAAGCTGTTGTATCTCATACATGCAAATCATGCATCAATAAAACATCCCTAAACTAGAAAGAATATTTTTGTTTTGAATGTAGTATCTGAGTCTCACTTTTAATTCTTTAACAATTTTATTTTTAATCAAATTTTCCAAGTTAAGAAAAATATTTTCAGTAGATGCCCATAGCCAGATCCTGGCTTAACCAAATGTCTAAGTAAAGTAAAAACAAAGGGCAGTGTGGGACAAGGACAACCTCGCTGCTGGTTTTCAGACATGGCAGGAACTGCAGGGTCAGCAAGGCAAGCCTACCCAGCACTTTCCCCAATTTACACACGCACCTGCATAGGCTTGAGTTTGCCTTTTATCTCCATGCCTGGAATCTGTGTGTACCATGCTGCCGACAAATTCCGCTGTATGGACAAAAGCATGTTCACCGGTTTTAAAATTTCAATGTCAGGCTGAGGCGAGTCAGCCTCTAAAAGAGTCCTGAAAGAATAACAAAGATTTCTTATAAGTATCTATATATTTTTTAATTTATATCTGAACATGAGGCTGCCATGTTGTATGCTTTTACAACACCTTCCTAAATACTTTAAAGCATATTTTTTCATACATCAACCCATCAAAATAAATCAGATTTATATGCACAACTATGTGAAACAGTAAACTCCAATAAACTTTGAATCAGGTCTGACGAATGTGTCTGTTATCACCAAGACTGTTAGATAGAGCACTGGGAAAATATTGTGGCCATGCCTTGCCAAACCTGAGTCATTAAGAAATCCTTAGCCCTTAATGTGGCATTGTTATTCTCTAAACTCAAGGAGAAAACCATAACAAGTCTACAATCATGAAACATGTAACAACAGCCACTTCTACTTTGTCTGCTAATAACCATTTACACAACCAAGTGAGTATTGCTGATCAATAGAGTCATGGCTTTCACATTGTGATTCAAGGACTCTGGGATGCTTCACTGAAAACTCCTACTTATAAGAACGTTTAGGAGTAAAATCTTAAATTGCACTACAATTCAGGAAGGTCTCTGCCACACACACACACACAAAAAAAAAAATAGCTACCTGGAACTAAGAAAAACAAAACCAAATGTCACTAAGTACACTGGAGTTCTTCTTGCTATCTTGAGATAGGGTCTCACTACGTTGCCTAAATTCATCTCAATTTGGGAGCTCGTGCTTCCCTCCCCACCTCAGCATCCTGAATAGGTGTGAATGGAGGCATGTGTCCCCCCCCCCCTATTAGGAAATCTTAGTTTTATAATCATTTTTTAAAGAATGGAAAAGATAACCATACTATAAAGTTATTAAGACAAAACATAGACCCTACAAAGCACAATACCGTTAAGCACTGGCCGGGAGCCAGTAGTCAAAGTTTCCTGATTAGAATAAACACAGAATGAGAGTTGAGAATCATCACAGTAAGTACTGCAGGTGAAAAAAAAACTATGAAAATTCATAGAAAGCAACAAATAGCTAGATGATACGAACATACCTGGACAGCTTCAGCTGAGTGAGCTGGACGCTCATAGTGTCAGCCACTGGGGGAAGAGAATGCTGTTCCACAGACACCAAACTGAACTTGTTCTCAACTCTGATTAAGCCCAGATCCGCTATCACGGCATTAGGTGACATAGAAGACTGGGGGACGGTAATGACAGGTGCTTTCAAATCGATGTCCATCAGAAGCCGGAAACTCTTCTGAGCCAGATCCTTCACGCTGGACGCAGCTCTTTCCGCAGCCTGGACGGTGGCTGTGCTCAAGGCTTCTTTGGCAGTTTGGAAATTATTGAGGAAGCTCTGTTAGGAGAGAATGACAGGTAGACACAGTCCCCCAAGCGAATAAAATGAAAGCTCAAAGAAAAGGGCACATGGGAGAAATGATGCTTACGACTTAAACGCCCATTTTCCTCATAATAACCAGGCATCTTAAATTGGAACTTAAATGAAAATGATGTTGGCCAGCACTCTATCCCAAAGCAGGCTCCACTCTGTACTTTCAGGATGCACAAATAGAGTTTGTTCCCAGCAACTAATGCCTTAGCAGCTTATTCATGAAGATTGTGTAATATACCAGAGATATGCAAATATGGTTGTCTATCAACTTTTAATCATTAACGGGAATCAAAAGTTATTTTTGGTAAGATACACTTGACCTCTATTTCAATGGAAAATAAAGTATTTTCCAAATGAAGAATCTAAAAACAATACTCTTAGCATACATCCATTAATCATACAAAAGTAACTTCATCTCTTCCACTAGTCCAATATACACACATTCTAGAGACATAAATATGATGGTTTAGGTATAAATGGATGACCAGTAAGCTCTTAAACTGGCAGGTTTAAACTCTTCTGCCCAAGACATTTGCAAGGACTCAGTAAAAATAAGAATTTCATGGCATGGATGATGGCAATTATAATCAAAACTCTAAGTTTCAATATTTCTTCAAATGAATGATGACCTTTGGGCATTCTACCAAACTACAAATGTTGAAAAGCTCTAAATTACAAAATTAAATCATAAAAACAATAAAATTCATGAAAGTAATAGCTGAGTGTGGTGGTGCACACTGTTAGTCCCAGCATTTGGGAAGAAGAGGCAAGAGGATCAAGAGTTCAAGGTCAGCCTGGGCTACACAGTGAACCTGAGACAGGTCTGGGCTATATGCGATCCTGTGTATTAAAAACCAAATACTACTAAAAACAAACAATATGTGCATGTATGTGTAATAATAGATACATAAATGAAAATAAAATATCAAAAATATAACTATGAAAATAATAGAGAATGGTAGTGCTTATGTTCAAAACAATGATTAGACTTTCCATTTTGGGGCCAGCAAACATGACTCAAATGGTAAAGGTGCTTACTGCCCAAGCCTGGCAACCTGAGTTTGATTCCTGGAACCCACAGAAAGTAGAAGGAGAAAACCGACTCCACAACATCGTCCTCTGACATGCAAACAGTATGCTGTGGCATGCACGCCCAATACTCATGTCATACACACATGTACACACGCAATAATTTTAAGAATTAACTTGCATTTGGTTTACTATCATTTGAAAGATTTCACTAGAACATTCTGTTCAGAGTTCAGGTGTTATTATACAGCCCTTCGCTATGGTCTCAATCTTAAATGCTCAACGAGAAACCAGTACAGAAGCCTGGGCTACCAGACTGTGACATACTGATGGCACCATGACCTTTAGAAAGTAGGACCTGATGGAGGGAAGTGCAGTCACTGGGAGCGTACTCTTCACGAGGGCATTGGGGTCTGGGCCCCGTATCTCCTCTCTGTTCCCAGCATCCATGAGGTCAACAGCCCGTCCCAGCACACATCCTCCACCAGAATGGTCTTCCTTATCACAAGCACCAAAACAAGACAGCTGAGCGATGGAGGAAAACCTGTTAACCCTGGAGTCCAGATGCGCCCTCTTCTTGTTTTAAGCTACTTATCTCAGGCATCTTGTCACAGTGACAGAAGGCTAACAAACATACCCAATCACTGAAGAGTTTAACTGTCAGGGTGCGGGTACACAGTCACAATACTTAGGCCGCAGTAAGAAATAAACACAAACAGGAATAAACTCACCAAAAGAGCCATGAAGAATTTGTGAACATAGACGATCTGAATACAACCCACTTTGAGGCTAAGCTTGCCATCCACTTTAGACATATCACCGTAATTCTGTCCTTCTGTGGCTTCTGGGTACAGACTCATCTGGAACCGAAAGACTTCATCTCCCAAAATAGAGACAGCCTAACATTACAAGACAAACGGTTATTACATCAGAGCTACAGAACCCTGGTCACGGGACCCTCGGCACACTTCCCGATGGCAGGAGCCTGACAGGTGAAAAGCCAACACATAAACTCAACCTTCAACACCAGCCATTTTCCTTTTCTATAAATGTCACTTTATTAATAAAATACCTACCCATCGCTAAACTTTCAGAAATAACTTTTCCAATCACTATATAGCAAGCTTTACAACCTGAAAATGACCTCCCATCTTCATCTCCAGCCCTAATATACCCTAAACATATCAGATAAATAATAAATGTACACTGAACAAATAAGTAATGGCATCTAATCCCCAAACGACATGCTTCAACACAAAAACTGGTTTTGTAATTACCTTTTTGTGAATGGACAGTGAATCAACATTCATAACTATTATATTTTCAAGTCTGGCAAACATGTCAGTCTGCTTTGGCTTCATAGAAATAGAGGCATCCATTCCTACAGGAGACACACCATTTACAGATATGTACTAACACACTACTAACATACGAGATAAGTAAAAATTACTAAGACATATTAACACAATCTCCTCCCAAGTATGTGCTATCTAAAAAAGGCTGGACCACTTTTAAGTCGGCATACTCCTCACACTATAACAGCTGACGAAACTGTAAAGTAAGACCAGCAAGTTTTAAATAAATTAAGAACATTTACCCCGAAAATATGTTATGCATTGGTGCAACCAGAGCTACTCACTTGGGAAGACACTATTTTCCAATGAACTGCACAAACGTGTTATTAAAACTGAAATAACCGAGCATCACTTATGACTAAGAGTTATTTTATAATAATTTATATCTACAATATAATCTAAATTTTAAAATCTGCCATGCTCCTTGTAACAGAGACATTAAGGATCTGAAAAGCCTCTTCCTCACAGAATACTGCCTACAGCTAAGATCTGGCAGCATTTGCTGAGTGCTGCTGACTTTTCAATCTTCTACTGTGTGCAACATCCTTTGTACTTGTCCATGCACATATAAATGTAGAAATGTCACCCTCACAACATCCCTTACAGGTGAAGTAAGTTTCAGAAAGTTAAAATAATTTACTCAAATGAGCCAGTGGTTAACTTCAAGGTCTGAGCTATAGCAAACTTCCCAGAACTTTGTGCAATGTGCCGTATAACCCGTGACCGAAACCTCTAATCACGCTGATGACAAAAGTTTAAACTATTTTTTACAAACTTATCTTACTAAACTATGTATGGTCAAAATGCAAGTGAAAACAAGGATAATCACTTTTATTTTTATACTGTGAGCATTACCATGATAGTCACCTGAGTTTAAAGTTGTCTTATTCTGAAAATAAAACCAAAATAAAAACCTTAAGCCTCAGATGTATTCTGAAATTTTTAAAAAGGATAAGGAATATCTCACAACAAGTTTACCTCTATCATTTCAAAGCACATTTGTTCAAAGCTTGCATACATTTTCAATACAAATAAACCCACCCATCTTTCCAAAATACTACATAAAAATAACCTCTTACCATGTATTTTAATATCTGCTATGTTACTCTTCTGATCACAAACAAAGATGTTAAAGGCATTTAACTCAGCTGTGACCTTCAAATCAAACACATCACCTTCAGAAGTGCTGGGCACTGAAAAGCAGTGGAAATCAGTGGTCAGTGATATGCAGAGATGATAAAACAGTATCAGCTCACTAATAAAAAGATTATGCAATGCACAAAAGGAACCATTAAGCCAACACAAATATAGATTTTGCCACTCAGATAAAACCTAGCAAGTTGTCTTTCAGTTATGAATAAAAGCAGCCAAAGCACCTTGCTGGTGCTACCCACTAGATAAATGTGCCTTCTAGAGAAAAAAAAAAAAAACTCTAAATTAGACTCTAGTGTTCGGTTACTACAAAATCTTTAACTAGTCACAACATATAGTGGCTCAAAGAATAATTCATGAAAACTGAAGTAGTAATGAACAGTCAAAGGGAATTCATGTTATTTACTATGTCCTTTACATGGTCTTTAACTGAAGAACCAACCCAGTTTCTCTAGATTATATGTTATGGGTACATAAGTAATTCTATGATAGAGTCACTAAGAAAGAAAATAATATGCTAAAGTTTAAGAATAATCACACAAAAAAAAATGTGAATATAAGAATACAGTCAAGCTTAGTGTGTTAGCAAATCCTACATTAAAGAGGCTAAAGTGGAACAGACTGCCTGAGTTTGAGGCTAGCCTGAACTATACAGTGAGTTCAGGCTTAGCCTGTGCTATATAGCAAGATGTTATTTCAAAAACCAAAGGGGGGGGGGGGGAGACAACTGAATAGGTTCAATTTTTTTGTGTAGGTCCAAACTCATTTATTTAGAATACAATTTCCTATGACTGTCTTATATGTAGGAAACTGAACTTTCCTATAAACAAAAGGCATGAGGGCTCTCAATTTTTAGTCCTAATATGATAGGCTGTTTGCTTTCTCAATATCTGATGCAGGATAAACAAGCCGTCAAGTCAAACTGAAAACCAGAAAACAGTTCAGCTGGGTTGACGTTGCTGAACCACTGGCCTTGTGTTCACTCAGATGAGCTATGAATGTGTATGCAGGTTTTACAAAGAGATGTTTCTAAGAATACTCTCTCTCAAAGAGAATAACTTTTTAAGCACAGTATAATAAAGAAGTCAGGAGTGGTGGCCACATTTAGAAAGCTCTTCCATTCCAAAAGTGTGAGGCCAGCCTGGGCTGCACAACAAGACACTGTCAAAACAACAAAGAAGTTGAAATTTTGATTCTAACAACATTAATTCTATGGTTTTAAAAGTTCAGATCCTTGTGTCAGAATGAATAATACTAAAAAATTTATACTTAGGATGTCAGTAATAGAGATATAATTCAAGCTGCTAATTATCAGAAATTTATTCTATCATTTAAAAATGAACACTTGAATTAAAAATCAGGCGCATGTTCTTTATTAATTCAGTATTTTATACCCAACATTTCTGAATGCTAGTCATGCACCTGGTGAACACAGACCAAGTTCTAGGTATGACTGAAAGAGGCATGAGGTCAGAGAGCAGGGTGGTTCCCAAAAAAAGCTCACAACTGCTGAGCACAGCGTCACTGTCTGAAATGGGCATGATAGTCTCCATCTTTTAACCCTTACCTCCTCACATTTACTAGACAGAAGACTGTCTAGAAAGACGTGTCAATGCAAAGAATCTATAAATTCTACATAAGAGCCAAAAAGTGAAATCCACTGAAATGCATGATTACTATTAATATTTATTTCAAATTCTTCAATAAACTGTCATGCAAATCTGTAAGAACAGACCTGTTTTCTTCTGAAGCTACCCAAATTTGTTAGACACGGTATATACCAAGGTTTTAACATTTATCCTAGCTGCAAATACAAGTTATTCCATGAAAGCTTATTGGAAAGACAGATACCGGCTTTGATGGCAAGACTTCTGGATTCCCCCACAAGTGGCTTCAGCTCAGATCCCTTCTCAGAAGAGGAAGATTCAGAAGATGGAAGAGCAGATGACAAAAAATCCATAAGGGAAAGTAAAGCTTCCAGATGAAGCACCAAGTCCAATGATGAAAATGAAACCTAAGACAATGAACAGCAGAGAGGAGGATTTCAGGGATGTTCACACCATTGTGGGAGCAGTCATGCCGTTGGAGGTACATTCATGCCACTGGGGGACAGTCACACCACTGAGGGGGATGATCATGTCATTGGGGTCACGGTCACAGCCTGGGTTGAGTTTCAGTGTATGTAACTAACACAAGAATGGCTCAAGCCTTTTTAAACAATTAAGAGTGAATTACTTTATCATTTCAATCCTTTTTATTACGATTTCACTGCCACTCTTTACTAGACAACAAACCAGTATTCTGCCCACCCCCCAGTGCACACATTAATTCTGATCTCAACCAAGATTGAGGAGACTTTAATGAAGATACAGGAGTATTCCTACATTAACTACATATGAGCAAATGGACTGTGTGTGTATACGTACTAGGCCATGCTGTATTCTTGTCCTTAATCTTACTCTAACCCAAAGCCAATACAAGACTCAAATGTTGAATGCTGCCATTAACACGAGGCCAAATAACTACGATGGTCTAACGTGAACAACATTCTCTTGAATAAGAATTATCTATATATTCCACAAATAATAACTAATTCACATTTTAAATTAATCTTTTCTGAAAGAAGGTTTGGCAAGACCCTTATTTCAATTCTATGTGCACTAATTTCAGGTCTATTACTACTCTACCCAAAACTCCCTTAGAACTGAAAGCTCCACTGAATCAACGATCTAGTCCTGAGATGAAATGCAAAAGGCTTACCTTCAGCTTCTGTCTGGTGTTATCATGAATGGTTTTGAATTCTGGTCCATCACTGTCTGCCTATAACCAATTGATAATTAAGCACTGAGTTAAAAACCACTAAAATTTCACACATTCAAAACATATATTTTACAACTTAATGTATGCTATTAAGACACAACAAACATGTTTCTTATAGGCAAATAAGAATATGGCCCCCACAGTGGTCTTTTGTGAGACTGATACTCCAAACAAGGATCATACACATGGTGATAACCTAGAACCCCTGCACAGATGTATCCCATGGCAGCTCAGTGTCCGAGAGGGTTCCCCAGTAATAGGAACAGGGACTGTCTCTGACATGAACTCATGGGCTGGCTTTGATCACCTCCATCTGAGGGGGGAGCAGCCTTACCAGGCCACAGAAGAAGACAATGAAGCCAGTCCTGATGAGACCTGATAGACTAAGGTCAGATAGACGGGGAGGAGGGACTACCATTGGACTGGGGGAGGGGCATAGGAGAAGAAGAGGGTGGGAGGGTATGGTTGGGAGGGGATGGGAGAAGGGGCTACACCTGGGATATAAAGTGAATAAACTGTAATTAATAGAAATAAAATTAAATTAAAAAAGAAAGAATGTGCCTCTAAAACTGACCACATAAACATACTCTAAATACTATAGATGCAAAATCTCATTCCTTATTCTACTCTGGAGAAGATGTTAGTGCATCTAATTAGGTGGGCCCATCCAAAAGTGGAAATTGCTGCTACCTAATTTATAACACAGGATATGGCATAGCTTTGATTGTTCACTCCCATTTATTCAACACCCCAGAGAAGCTTGTGAGGTTAATGGATTATAAAGGATTTCGATATGCTTCCGTAATTCATCACCAACCAACTCAGACAGAAAACACTCAGGGGAAGAATCTAAATATTACGCATGAGGGGAATATAAATAGCTTCTTATACTTAAATACTAACCCCAGAGATGAAATGAAGTACTATTATGCTTAGATTTGATTGTCAACTTCATAAAACCTAGATTCTGGAAAGCAGGTCTCAATGTTCACATTGGGCTGGCCTATGGGTAGCACCATTTTCTAGGCAAGGGGTCTCTAACTATGTAACAGCAGGGAAATAGAGCTGAGCACAAACAAGCAGGCAACACATATGTGTTCGTTTCTATTTGCTCTTGACTGTGGATGTATGATGTCACTGAGTATTTATTTACCCACAATGAAAGATTGTAGCCTGGAATTATAAGGTGAGATCAGTCTCTTTCTACACTTAACTAACTTTCTGTCAGGACATTTATCACAGCAACAGAAGTGAAAGTAAAACAGTACCTTGATGAACAGCATCTTCAGGAGGGTTCCATCAGACTCATCAGAGGAGCTGATGATATGCAAAGGCTCACCTTCAGAATCTAGAAAAGAAAGAAAAGTCTGAGCCGGGTCATCCCTTCAGCCCCTTAAACACCTTGTAAAACAGAACCAGCCAGTTACACAGAAAAACGCTCAGCAGAGAACTGTACATAAAACAGGCAAGCAAACTGTTACACTGTCAATGAATCATACCACAGTAAGTCTACCTTTGGAAAACTGGAGAGAGAAAAAAAAATAAAAGATAGCAAAATTAACAAGACAAAACAGCACTTGTCAGTAGCATCTCTCATATGCCCAGTGTCACAGCTGTTACTCCCAACTGGATAAGCATTAACTATGAAATAGCAGCTATAAACTACAACAAAGTTTATCTTCCCAGAAATGCTCCACAGAGTCCTTAGAAAGCTTAAACGGAGAGAAACTATAAAATTCAGGTAGTCTCAAATTTAGACAACGAATTTTAAAAATCCAGGCTACCTATTAAAAGACAGCTCCATAGTCACTTGGGAGGAAGTGAGGCCGGCAGCTGAGGCTAAACATCTCCTTCTACATATTTACGGTCTCTTTAGCATTTACTTTTTATGTGCACATATTAATGTAATTTAAAACAGTCCTTAACATTCATGTGATTTGCAAGTAAATCATGTAAAGTAAGGCTTCATAGTAAATTAACTTTCCAAAAGGGAGTCTTTGGGCTCTGGACCTGGGAATCGGCTTCTTACTGTCACAATAATCATTTAGGTGATACTGATTACACAATCACCAACAAACTGGAGATGTAAGGAATACACATAGTAAGGAGAAGGAAGCAGAAAATGAGCCCTATGTTTATGTTGGTTATGAGACCCACAATGTGTTTCCAAGAAGGACCTGCGCACTTACCAGGGAAATCAAAACACCGCATGGTGATTTTTCTTAGGTAAGCTTTAGCAGTCATGTCATGGGCTTTCACTTTGGCTTCCATCCCAAGATGCAGGATCTTTAGTTCATGTAGGGGCCTTCCTTTCTTTTCTGCTTTTTTCATCAAAGTAACCACAACCTAAAAGGATGAGGATGGATTACCACAAACTGCTTCACTAATTAATATACAGTGACAACAAGACAACAGTAGCTACACGGAGTGATATGAAGAAATTCATACCAGAAAAAGACATTCTGAGTTTGAAAACTGCCTATCATTTACTGCCTTACACTTAATTACCTTACATACATTTGTTGAGACTCTGTGATACCACTACTATTTTCTAGTGATTTTCAAAGATGAAGTAAAAAAAAAAAAAAAAAAAAAAAAAAGGGCAGGTACTAGAAGTCCTAACTGATAAACAGCTTCTGTCTGAAATTCCGTTGAGAGCAGCAGCTAATATTTACACAGATCCCCAGGCAAGGCTTCTTAACCTTGGGCTACTCATTGGGTGCTATCCTGAGCATGACAGGTCATTTACTGAACTCCTGCCTCTACCCACCAGCTGGCAGCCTCCCTGTTTACAGTAATAGTATAACACCAAATACCCACCTGGCAAGCACAAAGTCCTCCCCTCCTGCCCATCAATGTCCACAGGAGGGAACTGTCACAGTGTATATGATAAATGCTAGGAAAAGAACTTACGTATTTTTATGCCCACCTTACCTGTGCCCATCTTTTCTACCTAACCAGTCCCTTTCTTCATTCCATATTCTCAAACCGTTACTTTTTTCTTTATAAACCCCACTCAAATGTCACTTCCTCCCAGAAACCTTTCTTGACCCTATCTGCCTGCTTGGATGCCCAGTAGCTACCATCTACCACAGGCTTTGAAAGTAGCCTACCCTGAGCATATTTGTAATGGACATACAACACTGTACTTAGAATCTATATATTTTCTAATGTATCTTTAACCCCAGCACACACATTGGACAACTGTTGAAAAGGAGAGGAGAAAATCCATACTGAAGTACTACAGCATTCTTAAATGCACATGATCCATTCTTTATTCCATGGAGTGTTTCTAACATTTACTTACAAAGATTTCTCTATTTCCCTCTCTTGCCTTTCTCACATAAAAATCCAAAGCAAGCTACATTCCAACATCCTATAATAACTAAAAAGCAAGTGAGAGGAAATGCTTATATTTTCCTCCAAACAAAACAAAACAAATACTGAATCCCTACAATGTAACTGGTACTTAATAAATTCAATTTTTCTTTTTTTTGTTGTTTTATTTTTGTTGTTGTTTTCAAGATAGGGTTTCTCTGCGTAGCCTTGGCTGTCCTGGGCTCACTCTGTAGACAAGGCTGGCCTCAAACTTACAGAGATCCACCTGCCTCTGCCTCCCTGAGTACTGGCTTACAGGAATGCACCACCACACCCAGCTTAAATTCGCAAATTTTAAAGCACATTATCACATTAACAGGCTAATATTTTTTCATACATATTTACCTGCAAATTTAGCTTAATGAAACAATAAAATATCTGTTCACATCACTCTATAAAAAGTGATGAAAAATACACACCTCTTTAATTTCAAAGTGTAATAAGACATTAATGATGTCTATGGATCTGGTCTCTTCCACTCTGGCTGCTGACGCACCTTGCGTGGTGTGCACATCCTGTGGCAGAGAGACTTCTTGGCATGCTCTAGTTTCACCTGAGGACACTGAACAGAAATGCGTGCTTCTAGTCATTTGTTTCTCTCACAGACACTTACTGCAAGCATTCACGAGTGCCCTGTAGCTCCGCAAATCCCTATCAGCTCTCGGGCTTAGAAAGCTCTTGGCTTAGTAAAAGAGACACACACGATGAAAGTCAAATGGGAGAATCAAGAGGAACCTATTCCCAAAAAAATTAGGCAAGAGTTAATGGGCTGTACATAAAATGACAGACAGAAGACAAGGAGGTGAAGAAGATATTAATGCAGATGAATCACTGACTCAGAGAAGCAGGAGATAAGGCTAAGAAAGAAAAAGGGGCCATGGATGCCTGTCTAGTGAGGGAGAGAAAAGCTCCATGGCTCTGATGCTATTCTGAAACACATACCATGGGTGCAATAGAACTGTTCTCTAACCTATCACACACATATAAAATAAAGTTACCCTTTGCTACAAGTGTAATGCTCTAGACACTGCGATGACCTATGCATGGTCTATCCAGAAACCCACGTGGAAAAACCACACTACTCATTAATACCCTTGGGAAGCATTACTATCTTATCATCTACCATCTTCTTCCAGAACGGCTTCAAATAAAAAGAATTATTAACAGTTTGGAGAGTCACAATGGAAGATGCCCAAGTAGTGAAAAGGCATATATAAAATTTTTACTTCATTAGCAATGAGGACCAAATGAAAGCCACAGTAAGGGGCTGGGGCGACGGCTCAGTGGCCAGGCACTTACTATGCAAGCACGGGGACTGGGTTGGGGCAGGCAGGGTCTGTCCTACCAGCGGAGGACGAGGGGAAGGGGTCAGAGAAATGCACTGCATCATACTCATGCTGACTAAATAGGCAATTCCAAGGTCAACAGCTGGAGGTACATGCTTAGACTTGTTTACAGTAAGAAAGTGAAAATGTACAGTGAAATAGTTTTCCCTCCCTTGGTGGGCAAAAGTTTCAAAAGAAATTGGTAAACTAGTAGAAAGCTATAGAAAAATATGACAGGGGAGCAAAGTACAAGTGTATCAAACTTGTAAACTGATCAAAACACCTTATATTCATGCATGAAATTCACAAATAATATTAAATTTTAAGTTAAATTAATTCATTAAAACCCATATTGATTTAATTATCCCTTAGTTAAATGTGAAATATATTAATAAAGGCTGCATACCCTTCTACTGGTAAAACACTACAGATATACATGCAGACTAGATGTGAAAGGACATTTCAGTGCACAGGGTTACCAGCCAAAGACTCCACCTGAATACCTCTGTGGAGACACTTGCTCCATATTATATACTTCAACAAAATTTACTGCCATGAAGCCATTAAAAACAATGACAGAGGTCAAGAGAGCACATACATGGGTATGAAATACACACACCTACAACTGTTAATGTATGAAAACATCAGCAAAGCACAATGAGCACATACACACAGGTGCCACCACGTGTTTGAAAACAAATGGATACATTTTGTGCGCGTAATATGTTCACTATTGTGTATACATGTGTATGTTATTCACAAGTACAACAGCTTTAAATATTGTAACTTTTTAAAGCAAAAATGGCCATAATTTAAACTTTCTGATACTTTTATTTTAATATACTATATTTACTATATTTGGAGAAAATAATTTATTCATAATTTAAATTCTTATACTTTACCACAAAGTTTTACTTAAATGTCAGATATAACACACTACCACAACCTATCATTATTACATATTTTTTTTAATATATAAGTCAAGACTTTTTTTTTAAGAAACAGATTTCATATGTGTAGCTTTGGTTGTCCTGGACTCACTTTGTAGACTGGCCTCACACTCACAGAGACCTGCCTGCCTCTGCCTCTGCCAGGACTGGGCAAATTAAGACTTTTTACAAAAACATATCTCTGGTTAATGGCTACCCTTCTCCCAGTTACTAAACGGTAACTGTGTACTTCCCTAAAAGGAGAGAAATAAGCTCTAGTCATGCTTTCATTCAACAGCATCTTGTTAATTTTTCTTGGTAAAACAAATCACAATTTGTATTTGTTTACTACATGTTTATTTTGTTTCAGGCTGGAGATGTAACTCAGCAGTACAGTCTATGTATGCGTGCGCGTGCATGTGTGTGTGTTTCAGCATGCACAAGATCCTGGTTCAATCCCTACTGTAGATGAAAACTCTCTAAATTTGAAAACAACATTCAGTGTCTACTGAACTACAAAGAAGCCCATGCATATGTGTCAGGTGCCGTCAGCCTCTCACCTATCTCTTGTATTCTTGGTTTTCCCTTATCCAAGTCTTCAGTGGCCTCGCCAAGATTTTCTGCCAGTATTCTAAAGAGAAGATTAAGATCCTCTTGATTGAGACTAACCTGAGAAATAGATGATAAAGAACAACAAAAGAAAACCATTCACTTTAAAAATGAAACAACTATAATATAGAAAACAAATTCTGAGCAATAGAACAGAATGATCTTAACAGTAACTGAGAAGAGACAAAAATCACCACACAAGGCTTCTACTCCTTTCTTCGCTTTAACTTTTGCAATTTTAAATAAAATTAAAACTTGTAAATAATAATACTTGCATATCAATGTTAGCTCTATTGGCTGGTTTTCACTTAAAATTAATTATACTTAAAGAAATCTAATCCAAATTAAAAAATTTGTTAAAACAACTAATTCTGAAACTCATATATATCACTCCTTAAAGAACACTATAGTTATCTTTGGCATACTTTGATCTCCTTAAAAACAAGTATGTAAATAGCAAACATTATGAGAGAAAATATAACAATAAATAATTTGTGCACAGATTTCTGCAATGGGTACGTATCAGATTTAAAAGTTAATAATACTTAACTGAAGATCAATTCTACTGGAAAGATGAATGATCTTGTTGAAAAAAAAAAAAAGTTTCACAAATGTTTCTTTCACCATGCAGCAAATAATCTGCACTTCCCTTGGGTGCATATGAGAAAGACTTCAGGGCTGAAATTTCAACGGTAAGGTATTTTCATGCATGTACTTACATTCACTGAATCAAGGCACCCTTTAATTTCTACAACAGGCACCTTATGGTACCAATTTGCAGCTAGATTTCGATTTACAGAAAACTCCAAGTTAATTGGGTGCAACAGCTGAATATCAGGAAAAGAGGCACCTGGCTGGATTGCTGTCCTAGTAAACGGAGAGAAAGAGAACAAATCAGAGGGTAGCAGGTAGAGTACATTATCTGCTGCTCTAGATACTTGCAACAGCTTGAGGGGTTTCAAGGTTGAGTTAATAATTAACCACGAACAGAAACAGATTAAAATGTGTGACTGAGCAATTAAGAAAACATTTTTGTTTGTTTTCATTGGAGGAGGGGTGGTTTTAGTTTTGGTTTTGAGACCGGGCTTCACTATGTAGTCCTGGCTGTCCGGAACTCACTGTACAACAGGCTGTCCTCAAACTCAAAGATCTGCCTGCATCTGCCTACTGAGTGCCGGATTTAAAGGCATGTACCACCATACCTGGCTAAAAAAAAAAAAAAAAAAAAAAAAAATTTTTTTTTTTTTTCTTAGAACTGTAGAAAGGAGAACTGAGCTAAAGGTTGTTTTGTTTTGTGTTTGCTTGTAATTCACAATACCTGAGTGTTTAAAACAGTGGAGCATAAAAGGTCCTACTGCTTGGGGACCATGACCATGCACCTGTCAAAGTCACACTGCAATGCATTTACTCCTGTGTTTGTGGAGAAATTAGTGAAGACACAATTAACAGACTACCCATCAAACACATGCATGCAGACAATTCTGACCATTACACACACACATACACACACTCACTCACGTATACATACACATATAATCCTATATATAACATTCAGACAATTATGTACACTACATCATGTTTCACGAGATGGTAAATGACCGTATCCATGGTTTCCTCATTCACTGTACTTTCTACAATTTTGGAATCCATTCTTTCTACTTATAAGAAAAAGTCACCATAAAAAAAATGGCATCTTATACTCCAGTGGACTCATCCGTTGCACATTTGTTGTATGTCGTGACTGCAATGACACATATGGAAGGACTTGATTACAATCACTGGCAGGGCCTTCCTCGGAGTGCATGCTTGTGGCTAAGCAGAGGACAACAGGGCATTTGTTGGTTCTCAAACTAAAGAAAACAACAATGAGGGACCAGCAGCAAAGTGAAATTAGAAAGCACAGCCATAGCTTAAGGCATTCAGAAAGCTGCCACAGGGGTCATCTTCTTGACTTATTTTGGATAATAAAATCACCTTTGATGAGATGAAAATCCCTTTTAAATCTTTTTATATCTTCACATGCCACAAGGCATGAGCACTGAGGACACAGTATAACACAGTGCTTCTACCACGTGTAAGCTCACTGAAGCCACGCACACCGTGCCCTTCAGAACCACCAAGCTCCACCCAGAAAGGGTGAGCAGCTATTAGAAAGAAAGATTTGCTACCTTAGAAACCACCTCAACAATAGAGCACGCAAATGGATGCCATGTGTGATTCCGGGGGTGGGGAGGGAAAAGAGGAGAACATCACTGCAACAACTGACAGCACCTCACCCGTGTTTCACATTACACAGCATGCCAGTGTTAACTTCTAGAATCTACTATTTATAGCATGAATAATATAATAAACTGCTTGCTTTTGTGAGACACAGGCTAAGGAAAATTCGAAGTAAAGGATCAAGATGTGTGTTTTATTATTCTAGTCTCTCGTGTTTTTTGTTTGTTTTGTTTTGTTTTGTTTTGTTTGAGACAGTGTCTCACCGTGTAGCCCTGGCTGTCCTGGTACTCTCTGTGTAGACCAGACTGGCCTTCAACTCACAGACATATGCCTACTCTTGCCTCAAAGTGCTGGGATTAAAGACATGCACTACATCTAGCTAAGATGTCTGTTCTCAAATAATTAGCAACCACTGTTTTGGACAGCAATATACATATATTAAAGAAAATGTGAACAAATTGGTAGCTCCCCATGAAGGATGTACACACACTCTCCGCTAACCAGGAGCTAGAGTTCTTTGTATCTTTGAATCAGATGATCATAGAAGCATGGTATGAAAGTATCCTGAGACGCTAGTGTGTGCTTCATACCACCGCCACTGAGCATACATACCTAGAGAGCTTCAGTTTCGTGAGCTGCACCTCCATTTTGTCGATCACTGGAGGGTTGACAGCGTCTTCTCCGGACACCAGACTGAACTGGTTGTGCACTCTAATTAATCCAAGATCTACCACGACAGCATCGGTGGAAACAGAGGACTGTGGAATGACAATGACGGGTGCTTTCAGATCGATGTTGACGGAAACACGGAAACTCCTTTGGGCGAGGCCTTTCACACTTGTGGCAGCCTTTTCTGCAGCCTGGGCAGTGGCGGCACTCAGTGCCTCCTTGGCCACCTGGAAATTGTTCAGGAAGCCCTGCAGACAAAATGGAAAAGGGGAAATTAAAAACAGGGATATCTACCTCTGCCTGCACACATGCAATCTGCTCCAACAGAGTCCTTGCTTGGAAACGAGCCCCTTTTTTCTAGTGGAAGTAAGGAATCAAGGAAGGCTCCTCTCAGTTGTGAGCTGCCCAGCGTTGACTAGTGACCCATCGCTGAGCAGGGTGTGGACCAGGAACACAATCTCAACACTTTGGCACTCAGATAGTTGGCTTCTGTGTGTTCCAGAAAGCTAATTTCAATCATATTCAAAAATAGTTCAATGATTTGGATTTCAAGTGTTAAAGCGCGCTTTTGACCGCTACCTTCATATCTTCATACACCTAAATCCCAAAGTTCACAAAATGTGCAATCACAGGCTTACTGCTACTAGAGGAAACGTGAGCATCTGAACAGTGGCTTACCAGCAGCGACGTAAGGAACTTATGAAGGTAGACGATCTGAATACAGCCAACGTGCAAGGCCACCACACCATCCACGGCGGACATGTCACTGTAGGCATCTCCTTCGGTAGCATCTGGATACAAATCCAGATTAAAACGAAAAACTTCATTTCCAACTATAGACACGGCCTGCAAAACCAGAAATGTGAATGTACTCTGCCCAGAAAAGCAATCGTAAAACAAAGCCCCAGTTGGAAGAGGCTTGCAATTATAAGCTTTATAGAAATACATTTAATTTTTAAAATAAGATACTATAAAATAAGATCTCTAATCAAAAACTAATAACTGTCTGTTCAGTGTTACATACTTTCTTATGAACCGTTCTGGGATCAACATCTGTGACAATAATGTTCTCCAGCCTCGCAAAAAGTGACTGCTTTTTTGACTGAAGAGAAAGGGAAGAATCAAGGCCTGAAAAAAAAATTGAATTATTACAATGTCTATAAATATAACATATTTATTTTCATTATATTATATGATTTGGGAATATATACAATGTTTGAATACACAATTAGTAAATTTCATGTTAAATATTTTTAGTATCAAATTTATATATTTGTTAAAATGTAATTACATGAGCCCTACCCCTTAATAAGTTGATAGCAGTCTGGTGAGAGAGAGTTCTTTGGGGATGTGGCCCCTGGGAGATTACACACGGTCTTATAATGTAGCCTCACATCCATGCACATACAGGCAGCCCTGACAGAATTTAGTGTTATTAAGTAAAATAAGGAGGCATGAAGTTGGGAGGGGGACGTGTTGGGAGGATCCGAGAGGAGCTACAGTGGGGAAGTGGAGGTAGCTACGATCATCTTTCATTGTACATGTGTACGAAATTCTCAATAAAAGAAATAAAAACATGTAAATATATCAATCGCTTTTCCTACTGCACTGAGAAGACTCCTATTCCCTCAAGTGTATAATAAAGATGGTTAAAAATCAGAAAACAACAATAAAAAGATAATTACATAAATTTTCAATCCCCAGAGGATGTGGGAAAATCTAGTGAGAAGAAATCAATTCATAGTAAGTATGCATAAAGTAAACTTTTGTGACTTACATTTACATGGAGCCTGTGCTGCCTAGTTTCATGTCAATTTGATACAAGCTAGAGTCACTTGGGAAGAGGGAGTCTCAACTAAGAAATGTGTCCCTAAGACTGGAGGTAAGTCTATAGGGCACTGCCTTACTTAGTAATTGACGAGAAAGGGTCCAGTCCATCGTGTGTGGTGCCGCCCCTGGGACAGGGGTCCTGGGTCGTGAGAGAAAGCAGGCTGAGCAAGCCGTGAGAGGCAGGCCAGTAAGCAGTATGCTTCTATGGCGTCTGCTTCAGTTCCTACCTGCCTGTCTTCCTTCGATGATGGACTGTGATGTGGAACTGTTAGCTGAGATCAACCCTTCCCTCCCCAGGTTCCTTGGTCTTAGTGTTTACCACAACAGCAGACACCCTGCCTGAGACAGAGGCTACAAAAGTTTTGTGAGCGAAGTTTAGATATTACCAATTTGAAAAGGACAGAAGAAAAAACCTACACTAGACAGAATTTGGCAGCCATCCAATCCCAGGAAAAAAGCATCCAGGTCAGCCACACCCTACCAACTGCTTACAGTTCAGAGCCCTCTATAATTTAAATTCTCTAACACTGCAAAAAGAGAAAGGGAGCAAAGGGAAAAGGAGAGGATGCTTATTGTTAAGCAGCTATTAAACTGTGACACCTTACCTTGTATCTTGATTTCAGCAATGTTGCTCTTCTCATCACAGACAGTGACACAGAAAGCATTCAATTTGGCAAACAGCCTAAAGCCAATAACGTCACTATCTCTAGAGGACACCATCACTAAAATAAAACAACAGATTCTAATAAACTAAACTGCACAAAACTTTCTTCATACATTTTACATAATATATATGAATGTGAAATATTTATAAAATATAAAATGCATATTATACAAAACACATACATATAAAAACAAAAAGTCTAAAGTAAAAGAACAGGATTCACAATTGTAAAGTAATGTGCCTAAAGTCAGACAGTTGAGCAATATAATCAGAATGTGAACTAAGTTATTTTGGATCTAAATTCTAGAGTCTCGGACAATAATATACAATCATTGGGGTACCGGGGAAATGGTTCAGAGAGCACATGGTGGCTCACAACCATCTGTCACTCCAGTTCCGGAAGTCCCAGTGCCCCCTTCTGGACTCCACTGGAACTGCACACATGTGGTGCACAGACTTACATGTAGACAGAAGAGCCAACACATAAAAATAAAGACATCTTTTAAAGAGGTGATCAGTCCTCTCCTTCATGTCTCTGGGTCCTGTTCCTCAAAGACTGCCTGGGGAGCCCTTCCAGAGCCCGGAGTTTGGGAAGAAGGGCTCAGTACATACACGGGTTTTCCTCCAGTAACCCTCCAAAGGCAAGAGGGAAAGAAAGTTTCTTAAAACAATAGTGTTGCTTATATTTACTGACTGTGTGGTGCATGTGCGGCTTTATATTTTCGAGACAAGGACATTCTATGCAGCCCACCCAAACTGGCCTGGAAATCAGGATCCTCCTGCCTCAGCCTCTCAAGCGCTGAAACCGCAGGTATGTGTCACCACACATGCTTCAACAGAGGAAAGCACAGAAGCAGCAGGAACGGTGTTCCAAGGACTGAACTGGCTGATCCTAACATTCCTCAGTGAGCACTAAAATTTTAAAACACTCACAAACAAGAAACACAGACATGGTCTTCTCCACAGTATGGTTTGAACCTAGGGATTCGGTTACTGGTTATGGAGATTTGTCTGTTTACTGTGTTTTTGAAAGAGAATGGAATTCAATGGCCCTGACTTCCACCAGTGGATTAACCCATTAATGGGTTCATACTCCACTGTAATAATTGTACTGCTGGGAGGTAACACACTGGTGTGCCTTTGCAGGGCATGGCTGATCGTCAGACCACGCCTGTCTGTCTGCCTCCCAGCCTCAGTTGCTACTGTATGCTTCACCACTGTGTCCCCCTGACAATACACGGGCTCAGAGGCAACAGGCCCAAGTGCCTGCAAACTGACATCTCCAAAAATGTAAGCAAAACACACGTTTGCGCCTTCAAATTGTTCTTCTCGGGTGTCTGTCAGGGAGAACTCCGACAGCTCTCCTACCTTTCTGCAGGGGAGAGCTCTTCTGTTTCTCTGCGGCAGTCTGCACCTCCTTGGCCGTGCCCGTGTTCTGGCCATCTGATGGGATGATGGTTGTTAAGTAGTTCAGAGAAGACAGAAGAGCTTGTGTTTGCAGCAACAGGTTCAAAGAGGAAAAGGCCACCTGAAAGTGTTTTACAAAGAATATTAGTTCTTTCCTGGTCGTCATCAGTGGTCCACGATAGGAAAGGAAAAGAGAGAAAAATCCATGAGTTCCTGATGCAGGAACACAGGGATGGCAAATGACACCTCCATGCTCAAGGACACAGGAGAGCATCACGGCAAAATGGCCATGGAGCTGGTAACTGCTGCCTCTGGCCATCCATACAGTCAACATATGACGGGCCTCCTGGATCTACACCAGAGTCGACCTGGAAGAGTAGGCTGGCTCCCACTTTCTTCCATGTGAGTCCTGGAGACAGACTGAACTTAGGTGGTCAGGCTTGGCACAGAGTGACCTGATCCACTGAGCCATCCCACTGAAGTTGGGGGGGAAGGGGTCCTCTCTTTCTAATGTAACTCATAACTACTTTCTGACTCCTCGTGTGTTTTACTCAAATCAGGACTGCAGATGCATTTAGCATGTCCCCTTATGCTTTACCCAGTCTCTCACACCCATATAACTAGATGGTATCAACTTGGTTTGTTTAGAATCATGTTAGTCTTTTTATAATCAAATGCTCTGTCATGGCAACTCCTTATTTGGGAAGAACACTGAGGCTTTTAAAGCACAGAATGTAGTACATTGAGTATTATGTTCTAAACTGGGTTACAAGTACAGGCCATGGCAACACCTGTGGGGCTAATTTATAATTTCAGTTGGTCCTTGATCACATCTCAAATCACCTAATGCTCCTCAAAGGACCTTAGATATTCCCAGAGCAGGTTATCTGCAAATAAGATATGCTGTTTTAACAAAGCTTCTTACCTTAACAGTTTGTTCAGTTTTTTCAAACGTAGTTTGAAAGCTAGGCCCATTCTTATCAACCTGAAAAAAAAAAAATAAATAAATAAAAGTTCCAAAGAAGAAATCAAGAACAAAGTAAAAAAGTATTTTTATAATCTGTGTGTGTGTGTGTGTGTGTGTGTGTATGTGTGTGTGTGTGTGTGTGTACAGAGATGGAAGGAGAAGTGGAGGTGTGAGGGAGGTAGAAGATGGAGGAGGGTAAGAGGACTTGCTGAGGTGGTTTGCATGAGAATTGCTCCCAAAGGTTCTTATATTTGAATACTTGGTCCCCAGCTGGTACAACCATTTGGGAAGGATTAGGAGGTGTGGCCCTGTGAAGAAAATATGTCCCTGGGGACAGGCTTTGAGGCTTCAAATCGCACACCACTCTCAGTTAGCTCTCAGTTAGCCTACTTGCAGATAAGGATATAAGCTGCCGGCTAATGTTCCTGCGCCAGGCCTACCTTCCTACTGCCCCGCTCTCAGCCATGATGGTCATGGACTCTAACCCTTGAGAATCATGAGCCATTAATTAAGTGCTTTCTTTATAAGTTGCCTGAGTTATAGTGTCTTATCACAGCAGTAACCAAGACAACGATATATCATCTTGTCATATTTTAAAATTACACACACTCTATTTTTCATAAAGTGCAAAGTGTTCTTTTTAAGCATGGGGAAACATGCATTCCCTCAGAAAGATAAAGTCTGAGGTGTGCGATGACGAGTCATCTTACAAACCCATCATCTGATGCTTAGTTCAAGCATCTAGAAAGCTCTAGAAAGCTTAGTTCAATCTCCAGTGAGAGAAACATCAGCTCTTGTTAGAGTATGGTCTGGTGCTTTATAGTCGTTGCTTGCTCCCAAGATTTTTTACTGTTTATGAGAAAACTACCAGGTACTCCACATATTGCTGTTTAACCTTGCCTAAGACATTATTTCTGATTAATTGATTAAAGGGCCAGTACCTGGGCAGCGTAGAAGCAAGTAGGCACGGCTAAGGTTCCTGGGCTTTGGAGACAGGAGAATCATGGGAAGGAGAGAGATGGAAGAAAGGAGAGAGGAGAACGCCACAATGGGCCAGCATGAAAAGGTAACCATGTAGGCTGGGAGGAAGGACTCCAAAAGTAGCATGGAAAGGAGCCATCTAGATGAAGGATGAATAAGTATTTATGGAATTATAGCTGGAGATAGACCAGATAGGAATAGTGAAGGCAGATGGCATTGGATAAGGGCTAGGAGATGGCTAGGGAGGTTAAGATAGCATAGGTGGAATTACTTGCCTCGCCCAAGGTTTTATAAGGCAGTTATAAAATCTAACAGGTCTCTGTGTCTTCCTGATTATGACAGCAGGCTAGATAATACCACCATAACAATTACAGGGTTAATAATAAATGATAACAACCCAATAGCTTTTGTTAACCACAAGTTCTTCACAGTTGGAATCTCTACAGAAAGCTCTGGGTTTTTTTTTTTTTTTTTTGGGGGGGGGGGGCTTTGTTCTAAGTCAAAAAACACCTCTCATCACAACCTCTTACTCTGAAGACTTCCTCCCAGGAGCAGCTTCCGCCCTATCTGCTTTCCCGGCCTCTCCACGTCTATTCTGCCCTGTGCTCTCCTTTAGGAAACAAGTCACTGCATTTTCAGTCAGCTGGGATTATGTTTTAGTGTTGTTCAATTTCACATCTCTCTCTCTTCTAATTTATAATCACTTTGAGAACAGGGAGAAACTACTTTCACTTCAATCCAAGTATGCAACGGCATAGAAATTCACCAACCCACACAGACAAAACACAGAGAGAATCATCAAGAATGAAGGTGAACATCATCAGTTCCTCCATCCCTCTCACTGGAGTGCATTTTCCAGTCCATCCCTAGTCCTGGCAGCTCTCTTCTCAACTCCATCTAATCCACTTGCCCTTTTTAACATAGTATACTCAACTAAATGTCACCATTTTTAAAAGGACTGCAGCAGTGTGAATATGCCCCACAGACAAAGAGCACCTGCTTGGCCTGGGGTTCTGCCTCTGGGGTTAGCAGCCTGGCAGCTCTGTGATATCCCTGTTCTCTATGAACGTAGCAGTCCACACAGAAGTGACTCTCCTGTGACCTCTTCCTCGAACACACCCAGAGCCACTGCAGGAACACACAGCCATCCTCCTTCCAGGGGTAAAGCGTGGAGTCCAGACAAGGACACCATCTTCCTATGGCCCTTACCTTAATGTACTCCACTTTTAAAAGATCTAATCCGGGTTTGTCTGAAGAGCTAATCAAGTGAAGCGGCTTCCTCTTGGATCCTGAAAGAGAAATGATTTGTAAATAAGTTGCTTTCATGAAATTTATAATACTCTATATCTCTTTGTCTAGTGATGCTTTAAAAGAATATCTGTGTCCATTTGTACATTTTCATGGTTATAAAGTAACAAAGCTAAATAAGCCAGCTGAATTCCTTACCTTAAACATCCGGCTTACTTAAAAACATTTCCCTTTCACGTGCTCTCAGACTGTGCTCAAAAAGAGTCAAAACCTCTTACAATATTCTTAAAGATGCCTGTGTATTCATAGGGCAGTAGAAATAAACTATGGGTGTAAGAATCTGGAAAAGTGAATTCTAATTCATCTCTGACCTTAACCCAAAGCTATTTAAACTGTCTCAAGACTAGACTGGGACAATCTCTAATATACTGTTGGATTTTAAAATTGTATAAAAATAACTTAGGCAATGCCTCTGCTTAGACCTAGAGAAGAAAAAGGATACAGAAAGCCTTAAAAAAAAAAAAAAGATGTCTGATCACAAGTTCTTTTTAGTAGACAGTGGTGATGTACAGCTGTAATGGCAGCCCTTGGGAGACAGATGAAGAAGGCCCCTCACAGAAGGCTCCTCACAGTACAAGACCGGCCTGGGCTACACAGTGAGTCTCAGGCCAGCATAGGCTACAGTCAGGCTTGCTTTCAAAACTTAAACAAACATCTCTTTGAGCTCAGAACTATGTCGTGTGTGTGCGGACACACAGGGGAACTGGCTCCCAAACCTGTGTCTGGAGAGCCGGCTCATGACCCTCTGAACATGCCCATGCTTTCCTCTCCAGTCTACAAGTCCTGCTTCTAGAACAAGAAAGTTCCCCCAGCCTCTTGTCTTTCCCTCTTATATATATATTTTCTAAGATTTATGTATTTTATGTTTTGTGTATGAAAGTTTTATTTGCGTGCATGTATGTGCACCAAATGTGTACCTAGTGCCGTAGGAATTCAGAACAAGGGTCAGATCTCTTGTTACAGACAGCTGTGAGCCGCCATATGGATGCTGGGAATCAAACCCAAGTCCTCTGCAAGAGCAGTAAACGCTCTCAGCTACTGAGTAATCTCTCCTGTCACCTCTCAAGTCTTAACTAGCATAAAGGAAAAACAGCCTAGAAAATTTATTGTTTACACTCATTACTCGTGTTTGTAATGTAAATTCTATCATAATGCATTTCCTAAGAAAATTAGCAATATAGGAAACATTATTTTTCTTCTAAACTGGAGCTTATTTTAGTTTCAACTATTTTCTAAAAATCATAAAATGCCTTACTATTTGACTAAAGCATTGGGCAAACAGTAGGGGAATTTTAATTGCTGCACAAGACAGACACTGGAATGATAAAGCTCAGGAATTTACAGGAAAGTGGGCTTGGAACCTTCCCCTTTTATTTCCATCACAGTGCTTCTGTGCTGTGCTAACACTCTACCACAGTGGTTCTCAACATGTGGGCCACAACCCCCTTCACAGGGGTCACCCAAGGACATCAGAAGATGCAGAGATTTACACTGCAATTCGTAACTGTAGCCAAATTATGAAGTAACAACTAAATAACTTCAGGTTTGGGGGTCAGCACATGAGGAATGTATTAAAGGGTCACAGCACTATGCAGGACGAGAACCACTGATCTAACAGAATAAGCTTTAGTATCCAAAGTCCAGGACCGAATTTGATGAACAAAATCCAAAGCGTGAACAAGTAACTCGGAATCTTTAGCCTTTCTTTGTCTGTGAAGTGGGAATGATACTCCCTAATGTCAGTAGACTTCCCTCGACTCTGAGGTGATGGCCCATAGTGGTTGAGGCTGCCAGAGCCCAGAGCCAAGCTTCTATTGTCTCATTTAGGGTTCTGTCACAGTTGTTTGAACCTGAATAAATAATTGATCTACACATTGGTTCCATGTGAACTGAAGATAGCAACACAAATGACTCATAGCTGTTGTTCTAGAATGGAGTTAATATTCATAAAGTGTTTAGAAGAGTGTAGTTATTATACCCATTATATTGAAATGGAAATGTTTCATTATAAGTGAAACTATCCCAGACACACAAGGGGTATTTTTACTACTGACTGTCATTTCTATTTTCATGGCCATTACCTTTAATTTCATGGTAATCCAAGCTGATTTTCCTCAAATAGGACACTGCAGTCAGGTCAAATGTCCTCATGGTTGCTTCTGTCCCTACCTGGGTGACATTAAATACTAGAATTGTCTCTTCTTCTTTCTGTTGTTTGGTGAGTTCCAAAATCACCTAAAAGAATACATGCAGCAGGGGAAAGCTGTTGGTTAAGTTGAAGTCATTCTTAAAACAACAGATATAAAATCCTTCCCCAAATAGGGCACCGCAAGAGTAAAAGCTATGATGACATCCTCCCTCCAGACCCAAAGACGGGGGTTATCTTCCAGCTCTAGCATCAGGACTAAAAGCACATGCAAATAAGGCTGTGGGTCTTAGCTTTTGTTTTTGTTTTGTTTTTATTAAAAAAAAAAAAAAAAAAAAAAAACAGAAAAAAGAAAGAAAGAACCTGATGGGTTTCCAGATAGGGTTTGGCTGTATATTCCAGGCTGGCCTTGAACTCACTATTTATTAAGTACTCTTGGCTGTCTTTGAATGTGTGACGTTCCTCCTAACTTACCCTCCTGAGTACTGAGATTATCGGCGTGTGCTACCACATGAGCATAACTTCCCCTTGGGCTGGTATTGGTCATTGTCATGGATGTATAATGTAGAAAATTTTAGCCATCTAAACTTGTAAAGCTATTTTTTGTTTTTTGGGTTTTGTTTTTTTGTTTTTTGTTTGTTTGTTTGTTTGTTTGTTTTTGGTTTGGTTTGGTTTTTTTTGCCTTTAAAAGTCATATAGAAAACCAAGCATGGTGGTATAGGCCTGTAATTCCAGTTACCAAGAAAGCTGAGGCAGGAAGATTGTGACTTTAGGCTCTGCTGGAGATAAAGAGCATCCTGGTCAACTTAAGAAGACTCTGTATCAAAATGGCAAACAAAACAAAACCGAGAAAAGCATGGGGGTGGGATTGACTAGAGAGAGGGCTGGGGGTGGATGGGGCGAGACATGCTGCTGAGAGCATGTGAGGCCCTAGCTTCAGTCCCAAGTACTGTTAATAAAGAGTAGCCACATAAGAAAGAACACCCGAGAGATGCTGAGGAGGGGAGAGGTAGCATACAAACCACACACAGAAAGAGAAATTTTATGCAGAAATGCAAATCCTAATTAAGAGATGTGAGCTTGTCCAAAACAGATCACACACATGGATTCCCCCATAAGCCATTTTAAAAAATATTTTTCATGGTTTTGAAACTATGTTTCCATTTGTATAAACTCACAAGTATCAGTTGGTAGAAAAGAAACTAGAATACACATTTTTAATGCTCTCGAAGCTGAGGTTAGCTCCCAGTACAGAAGACGGACAGGAACGTGGTCATGAACAGGAAAACACGTACCTCTTTGATCTCAAACTTGAGCAGAAGATTAACCAGCTCCTCATTCGGAACCTCAGGGGCTTTCACAGCTCTAGCAGTCTGCGAGTCTCCTTCCTCAGCATCAAAGTACTCATCATCAGACTCTAAAGGAAAGACATTCATTAAATCAGACAATGTCCACTGACAACCCAAACAGACACAGAGCCGCCTAAATCTAACACAGTAAAGTCCATCCACACTCAGAAACCTTCACATTCAGACAAAATGTTTTCAACATTTTTGTCACACCCCAAAGGGACTCGAACTGGCATGTACTAAAACTTAAACCAAACTTGTTTTTCACCTTAGTTCATTCATTTAACATCCAGTAAAATGTTTACTGGATATTTGGATCATCTACCCAAAAGACTCGAATGTGAACACCACGATGGACACCGGAGTGGACAGGCCTTAACCTTGTTAGATACTGCCTTGTATCTACCAAGTTTACATTCTATTTTCTAATCCTAAATTGCAAGGTATCACTTACCTCTGGTTAGAGAAAAGTATCAGAGAAACATAACTTAACTGAATCTTGGGAAAACACTGTCAACTCCCATTACCCTTCCTTAAAGATGCAAACAAACAATAAAATGACCTGAAATCAGTGTTGGCTGGCAGCAGAGCTAGATTGGTGCTTTCAGGACTCCTTACTTTCTGCAGACACCCTCCCTACATAACAATGTGTAGTTTTAGTTTCCCACAGAGATAGTATGTTCCAATCTTTACCTGATTCCACTCCATCTAGCAACAGTGAAGTCCCAAGAAGTCCTTTCGTCCCACTAGAAAGAACAGGAATTGAGGCTACCTAGCAAAGAATACAAAATACTTTTAATACATGCTGATAAGAAGGATAAAATAACACAGATGACATCTCTCTATACAATGAAAAACAACAGACAGAGAAAGATAGAAAGATATGTGTACAACTATCACAGCAAAATCTTCAAGAAACTAATACAATCAAATAATGGCCTGCTGGAATTTACAAAATATTAAAATTACTACCCACATTTATAAAGATATAGTTATGTACAAATCAAGTAGTAAGTCTATGTGTCCTCATGTATCATTTAGTTGCTGTGGTAGCAATATAAAAATACATATTTATCACAGGGCCCTTGAAAATGGCAACATTATCAGCTAACTTTCTCAAACTTTTCTAAGTAGGCAAAAATCCAACATTTATTTCAAGCTATAAAGATCATTCAATTAAAGTGACCTAGAACATTTAAGACTTGCCAAAAAAGGACAGTTTCAACTTGCTACTGTATTTGCAAATTTATTTTAAAGTTTTATGTTTCTAGTTCTACATAAGGTATATTTTACAAATGTGAATAACAGTCTCATTTCTGTTATTTTCTGGTTTCATTTTTTTTTTTTTTTTGTTTAGAGACAGGGTCTCACTGTGTAGCCCTACCTGGCATGCAACTTGCTGTATAGACCAGGCTGGCCTTAAAATCAGAGCTCTGTGTGTCTCTGTGACACCACAGCAGGCCCCATTTGTACATCTTTGATCCTTTTGGTTAGAAAGCCTGTCCTTAGACAATCACCACTACTCAAAAAGTGTGGCTTTCTAGAAACCGACTTGGTATTTCTGCCGCAATCTCTTACCCACCTGTCTCTCCGGAGACTGTGTGGATGATTTCTGTGGCAAGGGTATACTGTTAATCAGACACAGCACATCTTTTATCTTCTGGTCGGAAATCCTCACATGCATCAAAGGCAGTCCTCCTGACACTTTAAATCTAAAAACACAGTTGGACTGTGAGGTCTCGGGGAGAGGAAGGGAATGAGCTGGAGACTACAGGGTGAGTTCAAGGTGGGCCAGCCATATTTGAATCTCACTACACTCACACAGCAAGCAGTCTTAAGAGAATGGAAAGTTCTCTGTGAGCCAATGTTCCAGACCATTTAAACATATGTGTCTTAAGCAAACCAGCGGTTCTCAACCTGTGGGCCACAATCTCTTTCATGACAGTCCCATATGAGACATCCTACATATCAGATACTTACATTACAGATCATACCTAGCAAAATTACAGTTATGAAGGAGCAGTGAAAATAATTTTATGGTTGGGGTCAGCCCAACATGAGGGTCACCACATTAGGAAGGTTGAGAACCACTGCAGTAAACCTTTTTAAGTGAACTTGTCTTAAAACAGGGTTTCACTATGCAGCCCAACTGGCCTGGAACTTGCTGTGCAGATCAGGTTGTCCTCAACTCATAGACCCTACTTCCTAACTGCTGTGATCGGGAGAATGCACCACCACGCACCGCCTGAAGTTAATTAGTGCATTATTAAAACCTTTTGAACATAATTCTCTACTTTTAAAAGCCAAAACCACATATATCTTTTATTTCCTAGGTTCAAAGATTTCTTTCTACTGATGGAAGAGTGTCCGCCCCATGGCTATCACCGTGTCTTGCCCTGCTCTGCTTATGCACAGCACTGGGCAGCACCTGGGTTTGCGACATGTACACTGATTTCCTGTCTCTCTGGTTTCAGATGCAAGCTCCCTGAGGTCATCTGTTCTGCTGCTCAGTGTTCAGTCTGCTTTCACCACTCATTTGCCTTTTGCCAGTTCTTCTTGTAGAAGTAAAGAAGATGAGCACTTTTCACCAAGCTGGTCAAACTCAAAACGTGCAGTGCTTACTTAGAACACTTTACACATACAAAGGATGACTCACAAAAACGTCCAGAATATCTAAATCCTCTCTAAAAGAAAACTGTGGGCCTAGACACGTTAAGCCTGTGGAAGGCCTGCTTACACATTCAAGAAACCATATGATGGAGCTTAATCCTACCAAAAGACGCCAAATAAAAAAGGTAAAACTCTGTGATTTCATTTATGAGAAATTCTTAAAAATTCTAACAAATCTTTGGTATGAGGAACAGACCGGTATTTTCCAAGGAAAGAAGCAGGAACAGGAAAAAAGGAATGCAGGGCTCAAGGAAACTTCTGCACATGGTGGATGTCTCATCTCAACTGACGACCACCTCGTGGAGACACATGTATGTCACAACCTTCCAAACTGTACAATACACTCAATAACATATTCACAGAATCTCAGCTCAACTTTAATGAAGCTGCTTTGACAAAGACAACATAACCACTTCATGAGAATATACTAAACTCAAAATATAATTTCTTTTTATTTTAATTCCCCTAAGACATTTCTCAGGATTTTATGTTGTCTTGTGACCAAAAAAAGCTAACTTCCTTTGAATTTTTTATTCCACTGATATTGAATTTGGACTTTCACACATGCAGAACCTCAGACAGGCAATTTTTATTACAATGTAAAAATCTAAATATGAATTCTGAAATAAGAGAGACAACATATAGGGCTCCTGTTGCTCTGACGAAACACTATGACCAGAAACAACTTGGGGAAGAAGAGGTTTATCTGGCTTACACTTCCACATCACAGATCATTATTAAAGTCAGGACAGCAACTCACGAAGGGCAGGAACCTGGAGGCAGGGGCCTATGCAGAGGCCATGGAGGAGTGGTGTTTACTGGCTTGCTCATCATGGTTGCTCAGTCTGCTTTCTCATAGAACCCAGGACCACCAGCCCAGGTGTGGCCCCACCCAGGGCCCTCCCACATCAATCACTAATTAAGAAAATACCCTAAAGCTTACCTACAGCCCAATCTTAGGAAGTCATTCTCTCAACTGAGGTTGCACCCTCTGAAATGACTACAGCTTGTATCAAGTTGACATAAAACTAGCCAGCACAATAGACGATATAAATAAGTATTTTCTTTAAAATGTATTTGTCCTATAAGATAAAATAATCTCTATTTTTTTCCTCTACCACATATATCCACCTCTGTTTCCTTAAACTTCGGTAGCCAATACAGATGCAGCATCCTTGTTGATTTTTAATGCAAAAGATGCTCATACATACCTGGCCATTCTAACATCCTTCTCCACCATCGCCTTGGCCAACTCAACATGAATATCCATTGGCTGCAAAATATGCATAGTCGATGGGTGCTGGAATCTACACTTCTTCCAGTTTTCCTCTTTAAAGAATAAAAGTTTAAATATTAATTAACATTTCAGCAGTTATCTGCTATTCTGTGCAAAACCACTTTACATTGCTAGAAAATATTTAACAAGTTCAATGAACAATTTTTGCTTCCCTCACATACAAGTTAAATAATCTGTATTTTAATACAGATTGATAGAAGACAGAAAGAATATCAAAGATCACTTCATGTGTAATAACCACTATAGTTCCAAAAAGAAGATTCTGAAGATAGACTTCCAACGAGGCTAACACAGTCCCATGCAGACCTTCGTCCATAACAGGGACTGAAGAGCTCATGGTTCAAGTAATTATTTGTAAGGACGTGCAAAAGAAAAGGCAGTTTTTATGGCCCGTGTCAACACTCTCCTTTAAGAACCACTGAGGCTCTTTACCGACAGTAGCAGACACGTAATCTTAATGTTAATAACGTTCACTGTGCAGAGTAGAGCATGACCTCTGCATGCAGAGATCATGTCCTCAGGTGGCATATTCCACAAAATGATATTTAATCCACACTTACTTTTTCTAGTAACTAAAGGAATAGAGCAGACCAAAAAGCTGTGCGTAAGCAACAGAAAACACCAAAGCTGTGGGAACATCGGTTATTTTTAAGTATTAAGAGCATATGCACAGGATGAGTGTCTGTAATGAAAACACGGTACAGCAGAGATCTTGGATTTCAGATCTGATAATATGAATGTATATAGTGTGAGACTCCCGGGGGATAAGGCCTGAGCTTCAAGCACAGAATCCACCTGTGCTCCATACCCCTCCTATCCGTAGCCCATGGCCCCTTGCACTCGGCATGTGTGCAGGGCGCGTGTGCTTGCTGTGGAGCCCATCCCCTGGGGTCACAAGCAGAGTTTTCCACTTATGGAATCAGAGCAGCACTGAAAACGTTGCAGATTCTTGGGACATTTCACATTTAGGACTTTGGGATCAGGGAAGCTTACTGTAGTATCTTTTAGATAGAGTGTTCCTCACATACATGTTTCTCAGGCATCTATAAAAGTAGCCACAAATGCAAAAACAAACACTGGACTAAAACAGTAAACATTCACAAGTAAAGGTAGCATGGAGATCATGGAAACATTCCAAAGCATTCAGGACAGAAGAGCCTGAAACAACCGTAGCTTCCACTTTGTTCTGACATCTCATAGTTGTGCTACAGACAGAGGGCAGCACGAGTATGGGTTCAAATGGTGCTGGGTACCCTAAGACTAATACTCCAGTGTTGACCTCTGTTGTAACTGTGGTGTTCTGCCCTGGGCCACTTTTACTGGGTTTTCTAAAGTGATCAGAGGACAAGGGTACAAGGCAGTGTCTGGGACTGATGCCCACAAGCAAACGGACTCATGACTGCACACTGCCAAGGCTAACTAGGCGTGCGCATACAACATCAAAGCTACTGGAGCTAATATGACCACCCGAGAGCTGAGCAGTGGCTGACCTGCTTTTGCAAAGAGCAACTGCACACTCTTTATTTCCACGTCAAACTTGTCATATGCCTTATCTATTATTTCTTCCAGCGATGAATTAGTTGTCTTCTGTGCACCTTGGTCTTTACTGTTGAGCTGAAATAGAATGAAGAAAAAAAAAACTGATTTTTTTTACATAACAGAAAAGTATACATATATATCAACATGCTTCAGTCACATTTCGAAACTTCTAACTTGAGACAGGAGACTGCCTTAATGAGCTCATATTCTGGCTGTTTCCTGGTGATTTGTAAGCAGTTCGGTTAGGAGTGCACTCCCTCACCACATGCCTGTTATGCTTGAGTAATAGGGGCTGAGCACATTTGCAGTCACTGAGCCAATTACACAGCGGTCTGCTTCAAATGACCCATCCGGAAGGAAAGCTCCTTTCTCTGTCTGCCTCCTGGGAGGAACTGCCAACTATGGCCCGGTTCTCCTACTGCCCACCTTCAACTCTTCACCTTTTCAACAGTACCATGAAAGAGGCCATTAGGTCTCAGTTCCAACCTCTACTTCCTTCTCTCCCTCCTGGACAGAATCAAGGTTCTATATGGTTTAACTCCTTTGCCAATTGCTTAGACTCAATAAGGTGTAACATCCAAAATCCCACTATAGTTACTTAGAGTAATCAAATATACATTTATATAATATATATTATATATGATTTATATATAATATATACAATTTCCTGTCAAAATATATAGCCTCCCAAAAAAGGCACTGTGAAATTAAACTCTATAAAACATAAAAACTAAAATTTATCTCCTATTAGAAAAAACAGTCCAGCACTCAGGGAGGCAGAGGCAAGTGTGTCTCTTTAAGTTCAAGGCCAACCTGGTCCACAAAGAAAGTCCAGTACAGCCAGGGCTCTGTTAAACAGAGAAATCCTATCTCAAAAAGAAAAAGAAAAAGAGAAAAAGAGAAAGAGAAAGAAAGAAAAAGAAAAAGAGAAAGAAAAAGAAAAAAGAAAGAAAGGAAAAAAGGAAGGAAGGAAGGAAGGAAGGAAGGAAGGAAGGAAGGAAGGAAG